ATTAAAACACAAAAAGCTCATAAGTATACCTTAACAAATACTTAAAACATAGAACACTAACCCATCATACCTATTATATTTTACCAGGATGCAAGGACTTTGTGAGACTGTTGGACTAGTATTTTGGCTTTATTCTATTAATGTTTAGTGCAATGCAAAACAGTTTAAAAACATTATAATCAATCAGACCACATAATTAAACTTGTGATAATATGCCCAAGGCACATTTCAAGTAATTGTTAAAGTAACAAAGTGCAATACTTTAATTGTTCTGAAATGCATAAATACACAATAATGATGCAAAAATACAGACAAAAACATTTTAAAGTTATCTGCATAGAAAAGGCAAACAATTGCTTCTCGTGGCCTGTTATTATGTCACATATGTGTATATTGTTTATTCCCTACATTATCTCACCCTGTGATATGCTCTATATGTCTTTGTTCCACCTAATAATGTCCTGCACCATGACTTCATGAGTTTTCTCATAAGCTGGCCATACCCTGACCCAGTGATCTAACTTTTAACTTAGAAACACAGATTCACTACTAGGTTCCTAATCCCATAAGCCTTCACAATTAATGTATCTTTGTATACTCTATACCCCTTTTATTCTAGATGCTTGGACCCCATTTGATATTTTGAACTTTTGCCAGCTCTGACAATTTCAAACACAGAATATTGTTTCTTAAAAGAGTCAATTCAATGTCCTGTTTTAGCAATTTAAAATTACACAAAATGGCTAGAGTTCTTTCTTCAATCCTGGAACTGTTAGGTTTACCTGAACCTCAGTGGTCTTTGGCCCTCTAAGAGTTTTTACCAGTCTAGTTAAAATGTCATCCAACTGTTGGGTGATGACACTGCTTAGGTGATAGTTACAGTAGTCTAAGATGGAAAGAGGCATTTCATTCATTGCCCTGCACTGATGTCAATTTTTGCCAATTAAACCAAATTTTCTCATGCTTTTTAAAAAGAAGCAGTCCAATGTGATTTTGTGAATAAAATACTAACCAGCAAACCAGGTAAAGTATTCCTCCCTCATTAAAAAAAAAGTTTGAGGCAGAGGCCATAGAGATGATAACTGCTTTGGTCTGATTTGTCAACCAGCTATTGCTCATAACACAGAAGGTTAAGTAGCTGTTCTGCACCTCAAGAGCCAATCCTTTAGCACAGGACTAAAACTTAGCTAGTTGGACACTCAAGTTAAAATTGCTTGGAGGGTCATGCTCATATATTCACCTAGAATTCATACTGTATGAGCACCTCACAAAGTGCAGATCTTCTGGCCAATGAGGCTTGACCCTTTATTCCCTTCACTTTCAGGATGATCCTGTCAGTGGTAACTTTTTCTTCCTAGAAAAAGTGTAATTACAAGAAACACCTCCTCTAAGACTGCTAGAATTGACTCAGGACTCTGACTCTGATTTCTCTTGGTTATTCTCCTACCTGTTAGATATTTCCTTTTCAGTCTCCTTTGCTGATTTAATCTCTACTTCATGGTCCTTAAGTGTGGGTATATCCCCAAGGCTCTCTACTAGACCCTCTATTCACTTTCTACCCTCTGCCACTTTCTCGGTAACCTTATCAGCTTCCATGAATTTAATTATCATCTCTTTGCAGATAATTCCCAAATCTATCTTGACTGCCCTACTTTCTCTCCTATGTTCCAGTCATTCATTTCCAGCTGCCTAGTGGCCATTGTAAACTGGATGGCCCATACGCATCTCAATATCAACATGTGCAAAATGTTCTTTTTCCTCCTGATCCACTCCTACTTCTGAAATTCCTAATTTATATTGAGGACACTGCCATTCTTCCCTTCACCTGGCTTTGCAACCTCAGTGTTATCCTTGACACTTCACTTTCCTCATACTAGTTCAGGATCTTTACAACTCTTACATAAGCGACTGCAATATCCTATAGAGGAAAGAGTATTCAGGAGAAAAAGGTGATTAACAACACTATCAAATACTGCAGAAAGATCAAGAAGAATGAAGACTGAGAAAAGGACATCAGATTTGGCAATTATGATACCAATGGTAAAGGCCTATCAAATAAACAGTTAAGCAAACTACACTGATGTCATGAAATATTATAATGACTATAGAAGAGCACTGAAAGACATAAACTGGTGTAAAATGAAGTAAATAGAGCCATGAAAACAATGTAAATGGAAACAACAACTATACAATAGAAAATAAATGTTGTAATATCACGAAAAACAAGCTGGGCTCCAAAGAAGAGATATGAGAAAATGCCTCCCCCCACTCTTTTGCAGAGGTTGGGAAGGGGTCTGTGGTTGTGGAACATTACGTAAGTTGTCATATCTTTTCTAATATATTGATTAGTTTTGCTGATTTTTCTTTTCTATCTTTTTCTCCTTCCTTCCTTCCTTCCCTCCTTCTCTCTCTCTTTTGTTCTCTTTCCTCCAGGAAGGAGGAAAGTGAGACATATGAAGGAATGTTTAGGCAATGCAAAAATAAAATATTAATAAAAACTTATTTTATTAAACAAACAAAAAGACATCCTTAGTAACTTTGGAAACAACAGTTTCAGTTAAATGATGAGGTTGGAAGCCAGTTAATAAAGGGTTAAGGAGTAATAGATGAAATGGTGGCAGTGGGTATAGAAACCTTTTTTTTTAAATGAAATTTGGCTAATATAGGGAGGAAAAATAAAAGATGGGGAAAACTTGGGTATGTTTATAGACATGAGGGAAGTAAACTGTTGATAAGGATACATTGAAATACAGAGAGGAAGATAATGGTCGGGGCAATCTTTTGGAAAAGACAGGAGAGAACTGGATGAAGTTATAAGTAGAATGGTTTGCCAGGGTGAGAAAGCAAGGGGATGGTGTCAAGAGTTTTTTGAGTTGGAGAGATGGAAATAATGACCACCATTTTCTCATTTAAATATGAATCAAAGTCCTCAACTGTGAGGAGAGGGAGTGAGGCTTTAGGAGAGAAGATGTTTGGTATACCCTCTGTGAAGAATGAGGTAGAAAATCAATTAGGAAGGAATAAAATGATTTCTTGCTGAGTAGAAGATCCAGTCGACGTTCAATTGCATCCAATTGACTTGACTAAATGAATTCCTCCAAATCCATTGAGCAGCATGGGAGTAGACACAGAAGCAGCAGATACTGCCTCACTAGGTTCTGGGTTTGGCAAGATGTGAGTGGTGATAGGACAAGGGAGCAGAAGAGTAGAAAGCCAAGGACAGTGTGGAGTCAAATTGGTTGAGATTGAAAAAGGAGTGTATGTAGCCAGTTGTAGGGATAAGTGTGTGAAAAAGTATGAAGAGGTGAAAAGATTGAAGGTCGCCCTGAGAAGGATGAAATAGGTTTAGGGAGAGATGGAAAATATAGAAGTATATGAAATTTCAGATTCTTTAATCATGGAAGTAGAACATTTATGGATGATGGCAAAATCAAGGGTGTGACCATTCCTCTGTGCAGCTGAGGTAGGGTGGAAGGCAGAAGAGTTGAGGAGACCGAGGAATTAGGACGTTGGTTAGAGTGACTGAAGGGCCTTCAACATGTATAATGAACTCCTCAATTATTAAGGCAGAAATTGATCTGTAGAAGAAGATTGGGGGGGGGCACATATTAACTTCCTGGAGAAAGGAGACTCTCTGTGTGAGGGTTGGGTGTGGGTATGATGGGGGCGGGGCCCAAGCCAAGATCTTCAGCCCTTTGCCCCAAAAGGAATCTGACTCACAGGCCCCAGACCCTCATCTCCCTTTGAAAGCCTTTTAATCTTATTCAGATGTGCCCTAAAAGAATCCGGCTCCCTTTTGTCTATAGGCCCCAGAAAGGCCTTCTCTGGTCTCAAACTGTTCCTTATCGACTCCCCTTATCTCCTTTTGAAAGTCCCAGCCCCACCTTGATTTTATGCTGATGCCTTTCAAACTTCTGCCTTCCTGTTCCCTCCGTTAGCTATTCCCCATTGTCTATTCAATCTCTAAGACCTCCCCAACTGGAATTCTTACCTAGACCCTTTTCCCAACCCCCTTCTCTGGCCACCCAAAGTTACTTTAGTATTTAAGATCCACCTTGGCCCTCATTCAGATGCGGAGAATCTCAGGCTCACAAGGCTGAGAACCTCTCATGCCCGCTCGTCTTTACCGGCGTCACCTGGTCAATGTGATTTATCACTAATAAACTTTTCCTCTGGCTGAAGAAGATTTGAGTTGAATTCATTCAGCAGGGCCCGGTACTGCCATCTTGGGGTCCCAGCATTTCAAAAGTCCTAGACCTCTTCAGGTGGGGGGAGGCTGATAGATAATTGCTAATAGTTACTTGATTGGCTAACACATTTAAATGGAGGGAATCTCAAAGGAATAGAGCTTGCTTTGGAGTCGGGTAGCGGAAGAGTCTGAAAATGGCAATGTGAATCCTTTCGTCATCACTATGTGTGATGGTTGGGGTTGAGGGCGGGAACATAGTAATGAAATATTACCGGGGAGAGTGGCAGGGATTTCCGTAAAGGAGGGTAGGTAGAATGGAAATTTGTTAACTATGGAATGGAAGTCACAGTAATTTACAGGCTGGACTGGAGCGGGACTTGCTGGGACTAGATTCGATGTGAATAGCTTTGAGGAAAGGGTAGGGGGTTGGGTTGACCCCCAGTCTGCCGACTGTTCGCAAGAGATTGAAGGAGGGTTATACTGTTAGATTTAGAGCGTAAGAGTAAACGAAATTGCTCCCCTCCTCCACAAGAAAACACCCCAACTTCCAATCGGGACTTTGATTCTCCACCAGCATTTCACGCTTAGCCAATTGGCGCTCGAGGAGCAACTACTCCCGCGCGTCTTTCAAAGGCCGAGTGGGAACCAATGAGCAGTGGGAAGCCGAGCCGGCTGTGAGAGCCGGGAGGTAAAATAAAGCAGGGGCGTCTGATTGGCTGTCGGGACATGCCCTTTCCTCACCTCACAGAAGGAAGGGACCAATGAGCTCTCGGAAAGCGGGAGAAGGCGGGCCCTCCGTGGGAAGGCGCTGAAGCTACGTGCTTGACGTCGGGCTCCCGGCAGCCTCGCTGTGAAGGTGATGAAGGGGGTGAGTTTAGCTGCCACGGGGCGGGCGTCCGGCGAGACGAACCCCGCACGGCTGGGCTGATTGGCCGCCCGGAACTCCTCCGCACCTGGTCGTAGTCGCGCCACTCTTTCCCTCACCTCCGGGCACTAGGGGTAGGCAGGGGGGGGCCCTTGGCCCGCCACTCTCCCTCCGATTTCACACTGGTTAACTTTCTGCTCGCCCCGCCGGCGGATTGGCCGCGGACGGGACCCCCGGCTGGGCGGAGCATCCCCCGGTCCCAGGGTCCAGGCTAAGAGAGGGGCGGGGCTCCCGAGGGGGGCAGGGTCGGGAGTGGGGCAGCCCCAGCACGAGGGGCGGGGCCTGGGGAGAGGGGGAAACGAGCCTCCCCTCCGCGCCCCCCCAGCTTGGCCCATTGGGGCTTCGATTTACTGCAGTAGAGTGTCTGTTTCACTTAAGCCTTTAAAAGCCATCTTTGAGAAATCCTACCCCGGAGACCATTTGCATAGGTGAATTTGGTCAGCAGCTGGCGAAAAGGCGCCGGGGTGCAAGCTGCCCGAATGTCCGTGTGCACCTGAGGGCTGCTAACAGCCATCTGTGGTGTCTGGAGGTGATGGTGCCTTGTCAGCGCCCCTGGAGCTGTCCAACTAGTTTCCCAAGTCCATGCCCAGAATAACAGCCTCGGGCCTTCTTTTCCGTTTATGTGACTTTTAAGGACATAACGTCGAAGCAATAATTTTTATGTTGGAAGCAAGCTCTTGCTTTTTGTAACCGCTACACATTTGTCACTTTGGTATGGTTGTTTTCTTTTGAAGCCCAGTACAATGCAGACGAGCGAGTTTGACTCATCAGATGAAGAGCCGGTTGAAAACGAACAGACTGCATTTCAGGTATCATGGTAAGTTGTTATATTTGATTAAAGAAAAGCCTGTGTTTTGTTAAGAACATCCAGTTAAGATTTTGACACGTGACTGCACACGTAATAGAAAGAATGAGGGACCTGGAGTCGGAGAGACCTGGTTTAAATTCTTCCTCTGACCATGGGCAAGAATCATTTAACCTTTCTTAGCTTCATTTCCTTATCCAAAAATTTCACAAGGCCTGTGGTACTTACCTTTCAGGATTCTTCTGAGGGTCAAATGAGAATGTGTAAAATGCTTTGCCAGCCTTAAAGATGCTAGCTAAATTATATTATTATTAACAACACTTTGGAAGTGTAAGGTAATTTGCAAATATATATATTGATTATGAGGAAAAAAACCCCTTCATTTCCCTCCTGTTTTATAATTTAGAAAAAAATAAAGTAGAAGCACATGACAAATAGGAAGCATAGGCAAAACTCTAATTATGCTTATCTCAGTATCTAAATATTTTGATTATTCAGCCATGAAAGATTTTTGCTAGAATAGAGGAGCTGGAAATTTACCAATTTATCATTACAGTCTACCCTATTCTGATGCTTTATTCTGGGATAGAAAACTGGGTTTTTCCAAAATTTTGCCAGTTGAAATAAACTCTAGCTGGAAATAAACCATGCTGGAAAATTCAAGCACAAGCCCAGCTATAGACTGGGCTGTTACTGTTGTCTGAAACATGTTCCACAGCACCTTAAGACTAGCTACATAGACAGGAGTTGTGCTCTGCCTGGGAGAAAAGTGTATATTTGACATCTAATTCCAGCTCTTTCAATTGATCAACATCCTATATATTACTCAGAACCATAGTCAGGACTGGTGGTTGGGAAGGGTATGAGCCACCAGAAAATTCTGCTCTCTGTGGCATATAAGTATTTATTTTTGTGATAGGTCCCATATGTAAAATCTCTAGTTGATAGCCTCACACAGGAGGCTGCTGAATGGAACTGGAGGAAAACTCATAGTCATACTAATTGTGTATGATGAATTATGTATTATAAATTCATGTCATCCAATTTTAACTGAGCCCTCAATGTAGTAAGGTGCCAGTCTTTTATTTCATCTTAACTGATTCCCCATCATTTTCTCCACATAGTACCTTCTCTTCCCTCTTCAGGCCTTCTACACCATCCTCTCTCCCCACTCTCTGATTTGAAGAACTTAATTATTATTTTATTGAAACAACTGAAGCTTTTCTCTTCATTTCAAAACCACTTGACACCAAGCCCCACCTTCTTTTTTTCTAGTGTCTCACAAAAAAACTATCCTTCTTGCCAGGGCCTATGAATATATTTGAATTCATTCCCTTCTCTAACATTTTGCAGCTTTCAGCTCCTCTTTCTCTAAACTTCAGCCTCTTCTTTTCGATTTCTTCCCTTACACATTCAGACATACTCTAAGGCTCCCTAGTCCTTAAAAACCGTCACTAGGCCCTCATGTTATCATTCTGTATCTCTTTTCACTTTATCAGCTAAACTCTTTGAAAAGGCTGTCCGTACTTACTGCTTCCATTTCCTCTTCTCTCTCCCATTCCTCAACATTTTGCAACCTAGCTTCTAACCTCATCATTCCACTGAAACTGCTGTCCAAAATTCCCAGTGATCTCTCAATTGCTAAAGCTAATGGTCTTTTTTTTTCGGTCTTAATTCTTCTTGACTTTTCTGTTACATCTGACACTGTTGACCATTCTTTGTTTTATCCTGGATGCCCTCTTTTCTCTGGGGTTTCATACTACCACTGTCTTCTGTTTCTCCTATTTGTTTGAAAGCTCCTTCTTGGTCTTCTTTGCTCACATCTCCTAACTGTTTCTATATTACCAAGGTTTGGTCCAAGGCCCTGTTTGCTCTCTACATCCTCTATCAGTTCCCCTTGATTTTTCTTTATCTATGTAGATGAGTCATTATTTTTCCTCCCAAATCCACTCCTCTAATAAACTTTGCATTTCTGTTGAGGGCACATTTTTCTGGTCTCCCAGGTTCTCTTCTTTGGCATTATCCTAGACTCCTCATTCTCCCTCACACTACCTCCACAACATCTCTTGAAATCAACCTGTTGTCTCTATTTACTAGGCTTTCCATCTTATTTTAGGTCCCCTCACTGACTCCTAATTGGACTCCCCGTCTAAAATACCTTCTTCACTGCAGCTCATCCTACACATTGTTGCCAAAATAATTTTTCTTAAGTCCAGATCTGACCATGTCACTTTCCTACTCACAGTCAACCTTAGGGGTTCCCTGTTGTCTCTAGGGTAAAATATAAACTACTGTGTTTAGCTTTTAAAGACCTTTATAACCTATCCCTAATTTGTCTTTTTCAGACTCATTGGACATTTCTCAGACCAGTTGCCTTTCTGGTTTCTCACACATAACACTTCATCTTCTATCTATCTCTGTGTTTTTGCACTGGCTGTGCCGCTATGCTTGGGATTCACTCTCCTCAACTTCCCAGAGCCTAACAAAGTGTCTGATACATAACAAGTGCTTAATAAATGTTTTTTGATTGAACACAATTTGCATACTAGACTTAAGGAGCATAAATGCCTTGTCTTGGATCTCCTTATGATCTGTTAGCAATAAGATGACATAGATCTTTATGGTATATGTGAAGCCTTTGTAGGGCAGCTAGGTGGCACAGTGGGTAAAAGGGCTGAGCCTGGAGTTAGGAAAACCCAAGTTCAAATCCAGCTCCAAACAACTTACTAGCTGTGTGACCCTGGGCAAGTCACTCAACCCTCTTTATCTCAGTTTCCCCATCTGTTAAGTGAGCTGGACAAGGAAATGGCAAAAAACTCCATATCTTTGCCAAGAAAAGCCCAAAAGGGGTCACAAAGAGTTGGGTACAACTGAAACCTAAACAACAACAAAGCCTTTGTAGACCGTGTTACAGGTAAAAACCTATTTATAGCAAGTACAGCAAAGAAGGGACCCTATATTAAAACTGGTACAAATGCAAATGTTACTAATAGTGCTTTGATACTGTTATGGCTGGTTCTCTACAGCCATCAATCCTGTCAAACAAATGTTTTCTTTAGTCCCTTTCCACTGTCCCCTCTTTACAAGTGAAAGCACAACAGCTGTGTGGTGTGCTTTTGACTTTGTAAACAAAGCGGCAAAAAAAGTTGACCTTCTTTTGACTTACTCTTAAGTAGCAATTAACTTTCAGTTCCAATAGCATCTTCATATGTTCTAACCATCTAAAACAAACTTTACTCCAGTTCCTAATATATCCCCCCCAAAACCAGGAGCTAAGAAGAGGTAGGTATACATCTCCCACTTTCCCCCTTGGTCTTTAGTTTTCCTTGCCCGTTTGCTGTGGACAGGCTGTACGTTAGTTGCTAATGATAACTACAGTACCTGCACGCTATCCACCAGAGAGAGCAGAATTTCCAGGTACTAAAAATAAACAAACTGATAAGTACTTGCTGTGCATTTAAATGGCTAATTTAAAAAATGCTTTAAAAAGTATAAAGCATTTAATCACTCTAGACTTTGGTTATGATGAACACAAGTTATTTTTATTATCTGGATGCTTTAACATATACATTTAAATTTTTAATATTTCTAACAATAACAGCCAACAATTTTTATTTCCTTTTAGGCTACCCTTATCCCTTGTGAATTGTTCTCAGTTTCTAGGTCTATGTTCTCTTCCAGGTGGGTAACACTGCAGCTAGATTTCTACTGATACCATTAAAGCAGTTTTCTATTATTAGTTAATCTCTATTGGTTATTCGCCATATCGAACACTGGAGGAATTTTGTATATTACAATTTTGCTCTTATGCAGAGAGTTATATGTTTACTTTGAGGAACTGCAGTGATGGAGGATAATGAGAGACTACATACATACATGTATCCCTCAGATTCTCCCAGTTCCAGTTACAGCTCTATGAAGCCCAGGAAAAGCTGCAGATGTTGACTGAAAAACAAGCAAAAAACTGAAAGGCAGGAAGATGTAGACTTGACTGAGTGAGAACCACACTGTGCCCCAAAGGACACAGGAGTAGGAAGTTGATGTTCTTTCCAGGCTGGGATGAAGGCCCTGAGCAGCCATTTCTGGTGCTCATTTTTAAGACTTTGGAGCTATATTTGTCTTGTCCTCAAAGAATTTATGGAATAGTAGAGAAGCTTAGACAAAGCTTATGGAAATTGCCATTTATAAGGATTATTAGAGTTCTCAGAACTTTACAGGTTACCTTAGATCATTTCAACTCTGGAAAAATATCTTGAAAAATATTGATTTAAGTTGGGTTTTTAAAAGATGCACTTGGATTTTTTTTAATAGATTAAAAGAACTGTAATTTTTAGAAAGCCTATGACCAGTGTGGAGGGTAAATCATTTCAGTAGAGCTGTATCATATTAAATGATAATTCAACTGTAAACCAAAATATGAGTCTTTCTCTTCTACTGGTTTCCTCTGAGCTATCTCCAACCCTGCGATCACAGGCTCCTCTGGTATAACACATAGAAGAACTCTGGATTTGGAGTTAGAGGAGATTTGGATTAGAATCCTAAATCTGCTGCTTTCTACTTATATAACCTTGGGCAAGTCACAGCCTCTTACTGCCTTAGTTTCTTTATTTGTTAAATGAAGAAGTTGTTGGACTAGATGATTTTTAAGCTTTGAGCTCTAAAACCTATGATCATTACTTTTCATCACTCTTATCCCCTCAATTGTGCCTTTCGCCTATTTGTTTTTTGATTCTCTTTGGTCTTAAATCATTCAGTCCACTTTCCCTTTCATCTAGACCAGTGGTCTCCAAACTCTAGGGTGTACAATCCTATCAAAAAAAATTTTTAAGCATGAATCCCAAATGTATATGCAATTCTACACGTTACAATAATACACTAGTAATTGTGTAGCCTAGAAAATACAAAAATAGCTACTTTAATAAGGTGATATAAAGATGAAATTATAATGTTATTAAGATATTTATTGGTCCAAAAATGTTCTGCTTTTCCCTAAATTATTATTAATAATGGTATTTTTGATGAAAGCAATTGTGATTGAATAGGCCTTATTATTTTTGAAAATTCTAGTTGAAGAACAACAAAAAGTGTTTATTATGAGCCAGACACTGTGCTAGGCCCAGGAGATAGAAAGATGAGGTAAAAAGCTCCCAGGGCTTTAGGAGCTTGCATTCTAATGGCAAAGACAATATGCAAATAACTACGTACATCAGATATATACAGGGAAAACTGGAGGTAATCTCAGAGAGAAGGCATTAGGACTGAAGGGAACCATGAACAGCCCCTTTCAGAAGGAGGGATTTAAGACTTGAAGGGAGCCAGGGAAACCGGGAATTGGAGGTGAGGAGAGAGAACATTCCAATTCAGGGGGACAGCTAGTGAAGAGGTTGGGATATGGAATGTCATGTTTGAGGAACAGCAGCAAGGAGACTAGTATCTACTGGACTCTAGAGTACAAGGAGGGGAGAGTGTGGTGTAAAAGACTGGAAAGGTAGGAAGGGGCCAGGTAAGGCAAACAAGATTTCATATTTAATCTTGGAAGTAATAGCCACTGGAATTTATTGAGTTGGGGGAGGGGGAGGGAATAACATGGTTAGTCTTGTGCTTTAAAAAATAATTTTGTGAGCTGAATGGAAGATGGCGTGAGAACATGTGGAGTGAAGAGAGGATTTTTCCAGTGCTTCATGTACCCAAGTCAAAGTCTAACACACATAGAAAGGGTAAGATTAGGAGTGAAGTTAGGTTATTTGCATGATAACAAGTAAAAGGAGAGGCAGTATCTTTGTGTTGTAGGAAAACCCTGAGATTAGATATTGCAAGGAGGGTGTGATTTAGCCCAGTTTTCCTATACTCAATTGGTTGGCCTTGGATTATACCATTGAGGTGGTGGAGTAATCAGTTTGGAGACAAGTTTGGAGACAAGTTATCAAACTACTGAACATTCTGGTTTAGATTCATTACTTAGCCTGTACTCACAAATCCAAGGTATTGCCCTCACCACCATCCTAGGCTTCCTACTATATCTATATTTATCTATATCTGTCTTTCTAGTACTATTACATTGTCCTTGCCCCAAATTCTCCCATGTCTTTTCATTGGCCCATCTTAATCTGATCCCACCTTATCTGCTGATTTTGAACCATCCATTGAAGCCAGTCTCATTATTCCATTCCCAAATGCTTCAGATTATTTTTGAGAAAGTGCTATTTCAAGCCCAAAGCTATGTAATTATTTGGAGGGACATGACATAGATCAGACCTGTTGAAAATAATCCTTTAGGTATTGTTCCCCTTCATTAACTTTTAATATATATATTAAAAAACCTTTTAAAACGAGCAATGCTAAATGGTTAGTATTTTACTTAAGTGTTAATTTAAATCTTGTTTTTTAAACCAAGACTGTCTCTGATCACTGTAACTCACTTTTCCCTATTTGCCTTCTTAACCTACTGTAGGTTGTAAATTTAAAGATGTTAGGAGAAATCTCCAAAAGGACATGGGTAAGTGTTACCTGATATACTATTCACTTCCACATGCAAAGTATTTATATGTGAAGAGGAAAAATGTACTGGCAGAGTGTTTTCTTTTATCTTTACATAAATAAGAATACCTCATAGCAGTGTCTTTAACAGAAGCTGTTAAGATTTTTATGAGGAATCAAACAATTGACATTTAGGGAAGGGGGTATCAAAGCTGCAGAAATTGAAAACACATCAAAGATTTAACTTCGTGCACACACCCAGGTGTAGTTCCTTTTCTTTGATGTGGTACTTAACATCACATAGAACTACTTTCATGGCAAAATGTGTTAACAATAGAATAATGAAAAACTGTACTCTCCATGTTTTTGAACAGGAACACTGTTTTTCATAGGCATTGTAGTAGCAGAACTGAAGCACTAAAAGTTAGAGGCTGTCTTAAGTCAGAGGTGTAGTCAGAAGTGTCCAGAGGTGGCCAACTGAGAAGCCAGTAAGCAAACATGATGAAGCACTCACTATATGCCAAGGAAAGGCAAACACCTGTTACCCCTCATACACTGCATAAAATCCACTTCAGCTGGTCAGTCTGCTGTCCTTTGTAAACAGCGCTCCATGTCCTGTCTCTGTACTTTTTCACTGGCTCTCTCCCATGCCTCTGATGCTCTCCTTCCTCATATTCACCTCTTTGTTTTTCAGGACTGAATTCAAAACTTACCTTCTACAGAAGGCCTTTCCTGAGATTACCTTCCATGTCCTTCTGTATCTCATTATATACCTAGTTACTTTTTTTCCCCCAATAGAGTGTGAATTCATTGAGAAGGATTGTGTTTGCCTTTCCTACTTCTGGTCATTTGGAACTTGTCTTCCGTGTGTTTGACATTTAACAGTAATCTTTTATGTGTCTGGTCTGTTGGCAGAAGAACTAAAGAACTGTGGCATACAAGATATATTTGTGTTCTGTACCAGAGGCGAGCTGTCAAAATACCGGGTACCAAACCTTCTAGACTTGTATCAGCAGCATGGAATCATCATTCACCACCATCCCATCCCAGATGGAGATACTCCTGACATAGACCGATGTTGTAGAATCCTACAGGAACTTGCAGTCTGTCTTGAAAATAACCGGAAAACCTTAATACAGTACGTTCTGTTTTTCTTCATGTCATTTATGTAAATGCTTCGTCAAAATAGATTTCATAAGGTCAGTCAGTAAATATTTATTAAGTGCCTTCAAAGTGCCAAGCACTGTGTTAAGTGCTAATGATACAAAGAAAGGCAAAAAACAGCCCCTGAGAGAGACAAACGTTCAAACCACTGTGTGCAGACAAGCTGTATACAGGATTAATAGGGGAAAAAAATCAACAGAGAGAAGGTACTAAAATTAAGAAGGTCAGGAAAGGCTTCCTGTAGAAGGTGAGCTGGGATGGAAACTTGAAGGAAACCAAGGAAGTGAGTAGGTAGAGTTAGGGAGAGGATTCTAGGCATGAGGGACAGAGAGAAAATGTCCATGCCCAGAGCTGGAACATGAACTATCTTGTTCAAGGTATAGCAAAGAGCCTCATGTCATTGGATTGAAGAATACATGGAGTGGGAAGGGTACTATAAGGTGTGAGAAACTGGAAAAGGGGTGGGGTGGGGAGGGAGGTTTTGAAGGATTTTGAAAGTATTTCATATTGGAGGTGATAGGGAGCCACTGGAATTTTTTAAGTGGGAGGGATGATACGCTTAGACCTGTGCTAGGTTACAGTTCAACCAATCCTGGTTTCCTTCTGTTTTGGAAGAGAAAATAGTTAGATTTGAGAATGTTCTAAAATTTGCTTGCTTTTTTTAATTTTAGTCCTTCCCTCTGCTTTTGAGCTTTAGTGAAAATTAAGAACGTAACAAAGGATACGGTATCCCTCATTAGTAACACATACAGTAACATCTCACTGTCCAGCTGGACTTTTTCCAGTGTGACATATTTACATTCCAAAATGTCAGACTTGTAAGTTAGAAAAAAAAAAGCATCGGGCATCAAGATAATAACACCCAAGTAATCAGTGATGACAGTAGCAGAAAAGAGGCTGCACATGACATGATGTGATTGGTTGTTTCACCAACACATAATGAAAGGAATGCTTTCATTGTCTGGCAATGGCTTATTCAGGTCAAGCTGCTATTGTAAAAGCCAAGACGGCTGGGAGCTACAACAGGGAAAGAAATAAAGGGAAAAAAGGGGGAAGGTGTTTGTAGGGGGGAAGAAATCAGCAAAGATAATGTGCAGCAGAAGCAGTGGTGGGAATTAATATTAGGGCATTAAGAAGTGGCAGCAGAACAGAAAATGAGTGCTGCCCATCTGAGGATAGCATTATTGTGCCATATGAAATAAACTGCACAGTTGTTCTGCAATTCTTGACAGTATAGTGGCAAGCTACATTAATCCTATCTCTGGCCCAGGGCTGCTTGAAAAGGTCTAGCATTACTGTATTGAGTCAGAAGGACCCGAGTTCAAATCCTGGGCAAGTTACTTAACCCCGACTGCCTCACCGAAAAGAAAAAAAAAGAGAGCCAGAACTAGGTTCTGGTCTAGTCCATACCAACTAGCTGTGCATCCTTGAGCATGTTTATTAACTGAGTCTGGGTCTGTTTATTAATCTGCAAAATGAGATGTGACTTCTCTAAAATCTTTTCCATCACTAACATTTCTATTATTCAATGAGTCACCAAGCATTTATTAAGCACTCAGGATACAAAATCATTTAGCTGGGCAGCCTCATCTCTCAACATCGCAAAACGCTGCCAACTGCAGTTGACCTGGCCAAGTGTTACAATGTGGTGATACAGTATTAGATGTCCTCACAAACTGCTAAACAAAAATTCTGCAAAATAATTGTACTTTCGTCATTCCACCTTCAGGAGGAATGGGCAGATTACAAACAAATAAGCGACTTGTTCAAGAAATCAAGTTCCAGGCCAGCTCTTTTCCTCTGCTGCACACCATCAGCCATCCACTGCCACAACTAGAGTACAAGTAATGATAACATTGTGTTCTACATACATATCTCATTTGATTCTCACAATAGCTCTGTGATATTAGAGCTAGTATCCCTATTTTGCAGAGGAACTGAGGCTCAGAACTGTTCAATGTTTTGCGTACAATTTGGAGCTAGAAAGCATGAGGCCAAAACTGATCCTGGGTCCTTCCTGACATCAGGACCAATGTTATTTTTACTGCACACGGCTTCTTTTGATCCATGCCATGAGAGTCTGAAGAAAGCAGGAAGATATTAGATTTTAGAAAGATTTCTACCAGAAAAGTTAAAATAACATTCTGGTGTGCTTTTGAAGTATTAAAATGAATTTTCCCTAGAATGTTCATACTTGGAATAGTTTATTTTCTTATATTATCTAAGTTCATTATTGCTGTGTAAGTCTGCATTTATTCCACATTCACTAAAGCAGGGTTTAGATAAAATTTTAGGTATCAAAGAAATTACTGAAATGTAGTTTATGTCTACCTGTTATACAAAATTTAGAAATGTGTTTGATTCCTAGGAGGCAGACCTTTAGAAGGCTAATAAATAAAACTCCTCTGTCCTTCAACCTCTAGATGTACTTAGAAGTTCTACATTTTTCCATCTTGGAGATAATTTATCATGGAAAGGGCTAATAATTAAAAGATCTGGGTCTGTTATTAGCAATGTAACCCTGGGCAAGATACAACAGCTCTGGGATTTCTCAAAAGAAGGGTTTAGATTATTGCTAAGTTCCTTTTCAGCTGTGAAATTGTATAAGCTGATAATTAAAGTGTTTGCTGTTTTAAAAAAAAAATGCTAAAAAGAGGAAAAAAAAACCAAACCCAACCCCTCCATATTTGTCTTTACTTTTGGTACAACTAAAGATCACCCACAACTGGTACAAACCCCTAAATTTTATTTCCTTTTCAGTTGTTATGGAGGACTTGGGCGATCTTGTCTTGGTAAGGAAAAATTTTCTCTGTCCACGTTAAATGTTTAAGTAAAGTAGCCAAATTACTGTTTCTAAGCTATGTTTTTGATACTACACCAAAATAAAACCAAAACTTAGTGTAAATCTAAAAGAATATATTTAAATCCTGAACTTGTAACACCCTAAAAGCATGGGAGATTCCATGTTTACACCACATGCTTACTATAGCCTTACACATACATAAATATACACACACAGGAGTCTGGCTGCTGGATAGAATGATGGGCTTGAAGTCAAGATGAACTGAATGCAAATTCTACCTTTAACAGTATGGCCCTTAACAAGACTTGGCACTTAACTACTAAGTCATAGGTGGTGAGCTACCAAGTAGAATTCCCACATTGGGAAGTAAGGAATTCATATATACTTTAGGTATTCTTAAATATATAATATACACTACTCCCCTCCTCCTATATATTAAGTATGTAGGCTTATTATATAAAAGATATAGTAAGCTTTAGAGTTCATTTGTCAAAAATGGCCATCTAGGTGTGTTTTAAAAATAATTTAACATTTTCTAAATGGCTTCAGTATTGTTAAAATAGTAGAAACAAAATAGCAAGTAAACTTTGACAAGGTGCTGTTATATAAAATAATTAAATGTTCTCTTCTGTATATCTAGTGACACTATTGTTCAAATTTTTGTACTATTTTAAAATAGTAGCAGCTTGCCTCCTACTGTACTTATCTGATACGGTATCACCGCAGCAGGCAATTGACAGCCTTCGAGATTTAAGAGGATCTGGGGCCATACAGACCATAAAGGTAATTATAATTTGTTCTTTTTGGATATTTGGGATGAGATTAGGTGAGAATATTAACAATATGATGGAGGCCTAGTAAATAAGAACAGTGCTTTCAAAACAATATTTAAAGTTAAGTTTACATGTAAATATAGCATTAATGTTCCAAGGAATCATAAAATTTCCCACAAAAGAATTAAAAGTGTACCTTAACTCTTCCCATTCTGGGATTGGATCATCTCACCTTTTAGACTGTTGTTAAAATATTAGGCCCGTGGGGCAGCTAGGTGTCGCAGTGGAAAGAACACCGGCCCTGAAGTCAGGAGGACCTGAGTTCAAATCCAGCCTCAGACCAAACACTTGACACTTACTAGCTGTGTGACCCTGGGCAAGTCACTTAACTCCACAATTGCCTTAAAAAAAATTAGGCCCTTAAAAACTTGGAGCAGAGAAATATTTCTTTTTGTTTAAAATGTCTTCTCTAGCTCCTGATGAACTAAAGATCCTGTTTATGTCACCAAAGTGTGGTTTAACAGGTGACCTTATCAATATTTAAAAGCAATGGTGATAATCAATTACTCTAGGTCTTCTAATTTCTCTATAATTTTTTCATCATGCTGTATAACAGCCTGTAATAGACATCTTGGAGAGGGGCATGTCAAATTTTATTTTATTTGCTGGTGAAAGTTGCTTATCCTTCTTTCTTCAGCCAGTTTGCATGAGGTGGTTGGGAAGGAGCAGTATTTGATGCCAAAAGAGCTACTAGGCTGGGATTTTTTATAAGTATTAGTGTTCTGCCACCTTTGTCTCAGGGACTGGGGCTAGGGAGACTGAAGCTGCCTTTTAATACGAAGTTACCTTGACTGTTTCTAGCAGTGTAAATATTTTATTTAACTGGCTTTATACAAGGTACTGCAAAGTAATAATTCTGTTTTTTCCAGCAATATAATTATCTCCATGATTTCCGAGACAAACTGGCTGCACATCTGTCAACAAGAGACTCAGTATCAAGATCTGTATCTAGATAAAGAACAATATCAATTTACCACACATAAATAAGATCCTTTCTGAACTTTTATATAGTCGTCATAAACTGTTAGCAGTATAACCGATTCAAATGAGAACATGCCTGTACAGATACATCCCTAAAGCTGTTTTTTGACAGTTTTCATTTCGTCTTCTTACTTGGGGATATTAGATGCATAAAAATGTCCTTCCTGTAAATGGGCCTCTTGTCTGTTTTATATGGGTACTGTATTGTAAGACTGCATTCAACATCATTTAGATATTTGTCATGTAGTGCTAACTAGTAAGACTTGAAGTCTTCCTGGCCCCTGACATCACTATGTAGTGCGTGACTACAAGAAGACTACCTTGGTTCTTGATCAATAAAAATCAGTTGTTTTTAATGGTCTGTATCCTGATTTACTTAATTTGTCTGTTTTTTCTCTCTACGTACTGCCCCAGCTGAATTCCTTTCACTTACTTTTCTATTTTCAACCTTTAAAATTATATGTATATCAGTTTTCTTTAATGATCTTAACTGTAATTGCTTCCTGTTGATTTTAACCAACCTAGACTGAATCACATATATTAAGAAAATCTAACCTAATTTAGCATCCCTTCTCAAACCAATAAAGAGGTGTCCTGTTTTAAATTATGCTCCCGAGAATACCCCAAACTGTCCCATGAACTTTAGACAAGGAAGACAACATTCAAGATAACTTATTTAGCTATCGGCAGTGATACCATACTCTAGGGTACTGATGTGTCTCCAAAGTATAATGAGTTTCCACTGTACTTTCACACTGAGAGACTCCAAAGGAAATCTTTTTCTATCAAATAATCTAACAACTAAAGCATATTTTACTGCTGGAGTAATTATAGTACTTCAAAGAAGTGCTTCAAAATGATTATCAGTGTTTTCAAGAACTGTAAACCACAGAACCTGTTCCATGACACAAAACTCATATTAATGTCTCTTTTAGTTAATTAGAAAGTCAACTCCTAGTAGTACTAAGGAATATATAAAAAAGTATGTATCCCATTAGTATCCAAGTGAAAGTCCTAGAAACTAACATTACTATCTCAAACCACACATTATTAAAAGGACATTTTTCAACACTGAAAGTTCAGAAGTAATAAAATAGCACAGACATTTTATGAGAAATCCCATTCTGCAATCCGAATAAAAGTGCAACCTAAACAAACTTTCTAACATCAAAGAGTTTTGAATCTTGAGTTTGCTCTCACATGTTAGAAATTATATGGCCAACTCTTCTATTCAGGATAACAGAGGAAGGTTAACTAAGCTCACCTAAATACTCATTGTTATATCTAAGTTTTCATTTAAATGCCATTTTAACACTTGTAGAATCCACTTCACTAAATTATTTTAAACAGTAGACATCATTTTCAGTATAATAGACAAGATAAAAGAAACTCATTGCTTCAAATACTGCAAGGAAATGTAGTTAATGTATGGCATGACAGTTGGAGGAAATATTTTCTCTGCCTGATCTTGGGTGAAGGAGTTCATTATGAATGACACAGCCAAAATGGGAGTGGGGAGGTGGGGAGAGAATAGAAAATAATCTGGAAGATTCTGATAATCCACAAACCAAAGAAGTAACTACATTTTAAATTAATAGCTTAATGTGCCAACAGAGGATGCCATTAACATAAATAACACAAACCACAAATACTTTGTGACAGTTTTTATTAAATATACAAATGCAGAATAAATCCATTGGGCTGTAAGGACCAATCTTAAGTGCATTTTCTTTGGTCACATATAAAATCTTGTAAGGTTAAAACTTGATAATTTTAAGAAAACAAGCAAAATGCCAAAATAAACTATTTTGTCTTGTCAGTCTTAATGACTTAGCTCTTACTCCAGCATATTACTTGATTGCACCATTACTTCCAGAACAGAAGACAAGAAAATTGTAACCAAGGAAAAGTAGATTTTATATATAGAAAAAACAAAACCAAACCAAACCCGATAATTTAAACTTAAAATCTGAAATGCCAATTCTGAAATACGTCTAACTATATTTAAATGAAAACTTAGTTACAATGAACACTACAAAAACCACCAGCGCTTCTGAAGTGACATCATTACTACATTGTAGCAGCACCACAGTTAATACTGTTTTCCAACTCCCAACAAACCAAATGCCAGAGTTAAAATTTGGTGAGTAATGCTATATCCTTAGTCTAATTAAAACAAAAACAGTATCTTTTATAAAGACAGAGTCACCTGAAATAGTAATAGCTATAAAAGCAGAAGAGAACCCTGCTTTTCCCTCAATACAAGCTATGATTATATACCGATTCACTGAGATTTATTAATACCAAAATATTCTTTGCACAGTAGTAAACAAGCATAATACTAATACTAAAGAGCTTGTTTCTGGTAAAATAACTTAGAAAATTATTTCACTTTTTACAACTGGTGTAAAAAGCTGCAAAAAATTTAAGAATGAGTATCTCAAACTACTAGTGGTACAGTTATCAAGATTTTCTTCCCCACTAAAATGATTATTGCTATGTCAAAATATAGTTGGTTCATCAGTGCTTCTGAATAACTTGCAGTTTTACTGTACAGTTTCTTGCCAGACGCACAATGTTTATGGAAAGAGCAGAGATACCAAATACGTGGATTTACAATTTTGTTAAATTTCTTGATACAAAGTGTCCAAACCAACTGAAAATCTGCTACTGTATGCAGGATTTCCTAGGTACACTCTACTGTTAACTTACATCAAAACTGATGCTCAACAAACACTGCATTTGCAGAGAAGCCAAGGGGAAGGGAGGCTCTTCTGTGTGCCTAAGGTGTTACATTTCTATACCTGTATTTCAACTTAATTGTATTTGATTGTAACATTAAAAATCTGACATTTACAAAACGTGTTGATGTGAGGATGCTTGGGGTGGGGAAGCCAATGGTAAAGAAGTATTTTCTATAGGAATCGCAAAGCTGCTCTAAACAGATGGCTCACACACTGAAAGGACCCTGCAGATAGGTTTCAGATAAACCTGTACCACTGCTGGATTATGGCTTATGGCTTCTTTATGAATCTGTGACTCAAAACCAAGGCTACATTCTCTGGATGACAGCTTAGAAAATGCTTAAATAATAGCCCTTTAGGGACAAATCTGTTTGACTAAATAGACCTAACTCAAGATTTCCTGGACACCTGCTGATACATGACACATGTTAAAAAGTAGTACGGCTGTCCTCATGTTTCCTTCCCCTTCAAAGCGTTCACACCATTTGGAAGGGACTTTGTTACTTTAACTATAGCCAGAAAACATCCTTTATCTATATCACCTCTCACTCCATCCCCCCACAGAAAAACACAAACAACCCCAGGTCATAAACAACATGTTGGGGGCAGAGGGAGAGGTAATCCTATTTTGTGTGTAAAATATCTTAGCATTTGTACATACATACATTTTTCCAAAAGCATACTTTCAACAAATGGACATGACAGCTGAACAGTCAAGGACTTATGGCCAAATATGTTATGCAAGACATCTACTTGAACATAATCTGTTACATTTACATCAAAAAAGTATTACTACTCCCTGCTGGACAGAAATAAAAAATAACATCACTATAAGATGTCCCAAAATTTTTAGTACAGTTTAAAGCTATTTAAGCTTAAAACTGCACTAAAGCTAAGTCTTTTGGGGGCATCTTGCATATCATCTTTGGGGCATATTTGTAGATAAAAGTATGATCGTGTTCTTATTCAGAAACAAGATGTACCTATATTAGGAAAAACCTTTTATGTTTTTTTAGGTTAAGCAGAATTAAAATTATAAATTACTTTTTATGGGGCAGCCAGGTGGCGCAGTGGATAAAGCACCAGCCCTGGAGTTAGGAAGACCTGAGTTTAAAACCCGCCTCAGACTCTTGACACTTACTAGCTGTGTGACCCTGGGCAAGTCATTTAATCCCAATTACCTCTCAAAAAAAAAGTATTTTTTATTTAAGTTTCTTACGAAATTTGATTCTGTTAAATAAGGTAACAAATCTGAATATTGGAGATAAACCAAATAATACCAGAAAAAGCCACTGAAGTACTTTAAACCCAATGAAACAGCAGCTTAAAATTCATGACATTGCAGAATTCAACATATTTTCCTGTAGCTTGGAAAATTATCATTTATCATTTGCTTTTTACTGGAAGAGACTGGGGAAAGACATACCAAAACTATAAAAGATAGGAAAGAAAGAATAAGGTCACAGATCTGATATCTCAAAATATTATTTCTGCACATAGACAAACAAACTCCCAGTATTCTAACCACTCTATCCCAAATGGGTATGATAGAATTTTAAAACATTATTTCATTTTTTAACCATATAGGAAGTAGCATCTGCTTTAAGAAAACTTTATAACAAAATGTTTACAATTGACAAAAAAAATCCACTTCATTTTATGAAAAAGTAAAGTTGTATTTCTTTTAACGTGTTCAAATAACTTAGGCTATTTAAAACTCTAAGAAGTCACTCTATATACATTTGCCTCAACTTTCTGATGCCAGTTAAATCACAAGGCCATTTCCTAAAACTTGAAGCGACTATGATTTATAAAAACCACTACAGAGGAGAAGGCAGCAATCTAGATAAAAGAATTTTACCAGAAATCCATTTATTTTAAAAAGAAAACCCTTTAAAAAATTTTAAAAGTGCCATTTTAACCCTCAAATGAATGGGAAAAAATAACAATTTCATGAATCTGTCATATAAAACACATACCACTAAAATGGCAAAAGAAAATCAAGGATTAGTGTGCTTAGAAATCTTAAATGTCCCTTTCAGAGTCAGGAATGAAATATAAAAACAAAAACAAACATAATACTGGATTAAAAATATAACTAATATGTGTTTATTGTAGTTGTAGATTAAGCAAGACTTTTATTGTATTGCACTAAGGAATAGCAGGGTAGTTAAACAATGTTCTCTCTCATTTTCTGTTTTGAACATCTAAGGTATAAATTGCAAGTCCTTAAGAATATCTTTTATCGCTAGATTGTAACAATAATTGGAATACCGAATTTCTTACTAAGTGACTGCTACAAATGAAAACATTTAAAATTACTTTAAATGCATTCCAAGATAATTCAGTATATATTCTCAACAGATTCACTTATGCTTAAGAATTAAAGTATATGAATTTTATGGAACTATTATGGGAAATTCCTAGGTCATGCAATATATAGGGCTAATATTTAAATGTTAAAAAAAAATCCCACCATCCTTACATCTGCAAATATATCCATGTAATCTTCTACATGATATATGAAGAAACTTTTGAGGCTTTCCACAAGGTCACATATACAAAGTTTTTAGTCCTTCAAAAGCACTTGATCTCTACAGCTAGTTTATAACCAGTCAGTATTTTAATAAAACCAAAATAAGCTACTACAAGCTCCTGTAAACAAAAACTTTCAACAGACTAAGGACAGTCAGTAATTAATACAATTATTCAGAAAATTATGGCTGTTCCTAGGGAGTACAAATTCAAACCTGTCGATACCAGAGGTAATCATTTTATACTCATTTTTATGTAATTTCATTTAATTTCTTTGTCTAAGCATAACATATGAAAACAGTCTTTCCACAAATCAAAAACGTGGAAACATTTTAAAAATAAGTAGTCTTTTTTTTTTAAAGTAACTGATCATGTTCCATATGCTAATCTTGGAAACAGGTTCTTGTTGGATAGAATCCTTTCACTTTGTGGCTTTTGCATGCACTTAACTGGACTGAGTCTGTTGTATATCATCTTAAGAGCTCACCAAAACATAAATCATGCTGAAAAGAAGAAGAAAAACACTGTTAACATAAAGCAATTTGTTCCCAATCGTGAACATTAATGGCAACAAACAAGTATTCCTCATTGTACAGCAAACCAAAGAGGGTAAAACTGCTCAACAGAGGTAGAGCAGTACCCCTATTGTAGTGGTTCTCTACTTCCTCAAATTTCAAGTTATAACAGCACTTAAGGATAGACATGGGCTTAAACACCAGTCTGAAAGAAAACTCAAGAGCTCTGCTATTTCATCTGAAAAGGGAATTCTTCATGAGAAAACATGAGTCCTCCTGAAAAGCTACTAGGCAGCAACAGCTAAGCTAAAGGGACCAAAGAAAAAAGGGAATTTCCTGCCCAGGTAAAGTCACAGGAGGTGTTCAAGCGGACGCTAGATGAGTATGTGTCAGGGAAGTTGTGAAAAGATTTATGACCTCTAATGTCCTTTCTAGTTCTAAGATTCTCTAAGTCTCATTGTGAATTTACCTTTAATATGATGTAAAGAGGGACTCAAATTGTACCAATTTTATAATGCAATTCACAAACTCTTTGCAGGAATACTTCTACAGTAAAGACACCTCGATATTTACTGAAAACCTATATTCACTTTCACAATGCTAGGAACTTTTCTTTCAGATGTTAGTCTGCTATGTTCTTCATGCATACAACTATGGTGTGCTATATTTTGCAAAGAGAAGCATGAATCTAGCCTAAAGGTACACTTTTTTTCCCAAAAGGAATAAAGAGAAATGGCAATGGAATAGCATATTGCAAGAATAAATGGCTGTGTGAAAAATCTATTAAGCTGAGAAGCAAAATATGGCATAAAACATTTGGGCAAGTATTAATTAAAGGGATTAAAATATCTAACTGGATGGAAGAAAACACATGAGTTAAACAGCCATAAAGCTGGAATGAGGGAGACAGATAGCTTTGTTAGGGCAATTCAAGTATCCAGATACTTCCTTAAGGTCTTATTCTGATAAAAGCAGTGCATGATTAATTAACCTTGCCGGTAATTTAAACTTTTACAAAGGTGGTAGAAGTGCTATTACAGATCCAATTCTAACCAGCAAGGAAAAACTTGTTGCTCAAGTAGAAATGACAGGTGACATAGCACTAATAATAATATATATATGCATATGTGTGTATATATGTACAGAGAGATCTCGAGGGCACAGTTAACTACAGCCAAGTACTATGCTAAGTACTGAGGAGACAAATTTTTAAAAGAGATGGACCCTGGCCTCAAAAAACTTATACATCTTAATGGAAATAACATATAGGGAAGAGGTAGCCAGGGAAAGGTGTTTTGATCTGGTAAATCAAAGGAATATCAGGAAAAATTGAATGTATACTTAAGACTTCTTGGTGAATGTATACTTAAGACTTCAAAAGAATTCAAAGAAAAGTTTCCACTGGCTTAAGACTAAAAGGGAAGTTGGCTCAAGAAGGACGGAAGACTCTCAAGAACGAAAGAAATCTTGTCATCACAGACTGGTTATTAAGTAAGTACATAATCTTTTTTTTGCTGTTATTGCATCCCAAGGGCCTAGCTTGGTGATTTGCACATAAAAAGGTACTTTATAAATAATGAGTTTATGGCCTTATGTATGATCCTTTATTTGGATGTCTGTTTTTGTTAATGAATATTAAGTTCAGGAAAAATTTTACAAACCAACCCCTAAATAACTCTGAAATAAAGGAAATGGCTGTACAAGGAACTTATTAACAACTATCGATTTTTTCAAAGCCATGTATAAGAGATGAAAGAGTCACACAGAATGGCGAACGCCTGGATAGGCTGTGATCTGTATCAATGAGAGGAACATCGATACAGACCAGACCATATACATTTACCTGACGATTTAAATGACTGTACTTTTATCTGTACTTTTTGTACTTACGTACATCTTTCATATATGGCTTTTAAAAATCTGAACTTGTAAACTCCTAAGAAAGTGACTAAAAGCGTATCTTTTGATCCAGAGATTCCACATAACCAAAGGAGGCCAATGATAAAAAGTTCCATATATCAAAATATTGATAGCATTTTTTGTAGTAGCAAAAAACTGAAAACAAAGACGTGAATTGCTCTCTGGGAAGAGGACATAGTATATATATTCTGAAATGAAGATGACATAAAACCAAAAGATAATAAAATAATTTAAAAATCAAATCAAATCTGAGCTTGTTAATATGCTTCTTGTGCAGTCATATTGTTCTATTTTTATTTCTTGCCCCCAAGAAACCTAAATAAAACCAAGTGTATTTGAATTGAGGCTTTCAATAAATACTACAAACAAAAAAAGAGGCTGTAACTGACAGAATACAGAGATCATAGATTTAGAATTGGAGAACACCTCAGAAGTCATTTAGTCGAACCCCTTCATTTTATAAATAAGGAAACTAAGGCCTAGCGAGGTTAAGTGATTTGCTCAATAACACACAAGTAGTATGGCTAGGATTTTCAACCTAGGTCCTTCTAACTCTAAATTTAGTGGCCTTTCTTCTATATATCATGTTACATCAATAGCTTAGATCAGAACCAGAAAGACAGGGAGAAAGGTGTTAAGCCAAGGTCAGGGTTTCCTATTTTGACTCTATAAGAAGTTTGATAGATCCAGGGAGGCTTGCTGACAAATGGTTAACTTTTAGAGGTATGGCTCAGAGCTTCTGGGTAATCCTATTCTCTGGAAGGAGGGAGATCTTCATGGCTTAAAGGGCTCAGGCAAACTAGGAATCTTGGCTTTGATAGTGCAGTAGCTTTTTCTTTCTCAGCCCAGGAATTTTTCATGCTTAATCCAAGGAGCTGAGGACAGGGATTATCAAGGTTCCAGAGGGGTACAGCCTCCAAAGTCTTGCTGATCTTGTATAGAAAGGTAAACTATTCCTTTATCCTGCATACATTTCTATCACAAAAACTTATCTTTAGGCTAGAATAGAATGAAAGTGACTTGACAGAGAACTGAAACCTAAGATAAGTGAGGAAGTGGTAAGTCTTCAATTACTTTATCAGATAACCTAAAACAACTACATCCCATGTATTTATAGGTCAATATTCTGAAAGCTAAAGGCCAGCCAAGATGTCAATTTCTAGAAAAAAAAATTAGAATGCACTATTACAAGGACTGTTTTTTGAGTACTTAGAAATAAAAACAGTGATTACTACAAGTCTGCTTTAGTTCATTAGAAACATGTCAGCACAGCTTTGCAGTCAGATGTGAGTACCTGGGTTCAAATCCCACCTCTGGGGCTTTCCCATTGTGAGACCTTGGGAAAATCACTTAACCTTCTGGATCTCAGCTTATCTGTGAAACGAGGGTGTTGAATTTAGACTGCCTTTGAGATCTCTTTCAGCTCTAAATCTATCATGCTATAATCAAAGAATTATCATAAACATAAGTAGACCTAGATTTCAAGAAGGCATGTCAGAAACACTGTCTGGTTTAGGAGCTGCTTGAAAGACCAGACCCAAAGAATGTCGATTAATGAATGGATTTATATTAACCTTTGCAGAATACTTCAGTGAAATTTTCTAGGGCTCTTCGTTTATTGAATGGTTTTGTTCCAAATTGTTATCAATGACTTGGATGACAGTATAATCACTTACACTTCTCAAATTTATAGGCAATAAAGCTGGCATGGATAGCCAATGTGTTGGACGACAAGAACAGGGATGGTAACAGGCTGGAACAATGGGCCATATCTAATAAGATCAAATCCACTGTAGGTAAAGTCTCCTACTTAGGTTCAACTGTACAAGTAAAGGATGGGGGCTGGACAACAGCTCATATTTTAAAAGATCTGGAAGAAAAAAATGGTAAGACCATCAATGAAGTATTAAAAAAAAAGTGCACAGAACTAAAGTAGGAAACAGACAAGCAGAGTAGCTTTGGAAACAACATGCTGAAAGCATCATATGCTTATTAAAATACAAGTAACAGGATGTATAGTTTTGTATACAAGCCTTTTTTGGGGTACATAGGGAAAAGGTCATATTTGTTGGTGTTAAGTTCGGAGTAACAAAAAAAAATTATCTTAAAAAAGCTACAACTTTTAGTGAAAATTGAAGGTGAGAGGAGTCAATAATAATTGTTAACTGATTCCTTGTCTCCTCTTGGAAATATTTCATGTCACCTCTCCTCAAGACTCTCAACATGTCATTCTACTCTCATCTGATGATATTCGTCCTGAGTTCAAATATGGTTTCACATACTTACTGGCTGTATGCTTCAGTATCCTCATTCGTAAAATGGGGATAATAACAGTACCTACCTGTACCCTGGGTTGTTGTGAGGGTCAAATGAAATACTAATATGTAAAGCACACAGAGTGCCTGGCACATGGAAAGCACTATAATAAACGTTAGCTACAATAGCTAATATTGTACTTATTTGTATTAGCTCTTTATGTTTATTCACATATGTGTATATATGTATACATACGTACTCACATTTTTGTTCTCAGCATTTGTCTGGCCAATATCATATAAATGCTTGCTGAATGAACATGTAATGTGACAGTCAAAGATGCAAATGATACATAAATATTTATCAATAAAATTGAGAGAAGCATAGTGCACAATGTGACGAACAGTCTAACTTTCTGCTTGGTCAGGCTATACCTGGAGTACTCACTGGTTCTAAATGCTACTACATTTTAGAAAGGATATTCATAAGGGAAAGACATATAGAATAAGGTGAGATAATCTGAAATCCCGGCCCAGGAGAACTGATTGAAGGAACTAAAGATGTTTTAGCCTAGAGACTAGGGAACAAGAAAGTCATCTTCAATAATCATAACTCTAGAGCTAGTATGAACATTAGAAGTGATTTAATGCAAACCCAACACTTTACAGATAAGGAAACTAAAATCCAGGGATTAAGTTAAGTGACCTGCTCAAGGTCACAAATGCAGTGAACATCAAAGGTAGAATTTGAACCAAAGTCCTCTAATTCTAGAGCTAGTGTTCTTTCCTCTCTACCAAATATCTGCAAAGTTTTCCATGCTGAAGGAAGATTTGACTTGATTCTCTTGGTTCCAGAACTAACAGAAGGACTAATGAGTAGAAGCTATGAGGAAGCAGACTCTGTCAATGGAGAAGCAAAACCTTTTAATAAGTATACTGTTCAAAAATTCAAATGGCCTGCCTTGGATGGCAGTAAGTTCCCCATCACTAATAATATTCAAGCTAGGGCTGTATGATCACTTAATTAGGGATTTTGTAGAAGAGATTTATGCTTCTGCTGGGGAGTCAGACTGGATGACCTTGGAGGCCCCTTCTGATTCAATAATTATACAATACAATTATCAAAATTGGCATGGGAGCTGGAGTGGTAGAAGGGCACCATCATAATCTCTTTTAAAATAGCCTGATTAGGTGGCGCAGTGGACAGAGCACCAGCCCTGAGTCAGGAGGACCTGAGTTCAAATATGGCCTCAGACACTTGACACTTACTAGCTGTGTGACCCTGGGCAAATCACTTAACCCCATTGTGTAGCAAAAACAAAAACCAAAAATAAAAATAAAATAGCTTGATTATGATATATTGAAAAGCAAGGGAAGACTACACATTAGGCTTAGATGTTCATAAAAACCTCTCATGGTAAAAGTGGTAAGAAAAAAATATTAATAATTATAATTCCAGTTTATCAATTCCTAAACTTCAATAGCTGCCATTCTGTTGCCTTTTCCATATATCTAATCCCTGACCTGCCCTCTAGAGCAAGGTTTCTTAACCTGGGAGCTATGAACTTGTTTTTAAAAATATTTTGATTAATGCGTTTCAATATAATGTTGCCCTTAGAAATATATATATATATATATATATATATATATATATATATATATATATATATATATATATATATATGTCTTAGATGGAGGATTAGGAGCAGCAACTCAGCTAACTCTTTCAACATTTCCCTCCAAATGACCTTAAAAATAACTCCACAAACTGAATTTTGGGGTGGCAAAGCCAACAAAAGTCAGGGTGAGACATTTTTCTGGCCTAAGAAAACTTAGGGAGGTCAGCAGAAGTTTTTGACATGGGAGTAGAGGCCTGTCCAGAGCACACACACACGAGGCAGGCTGCAGCCGCAGCACCAGCAGCTTTGGGAACTCTTAGCATGGAGATGGGAGTGGGATAACTGGTCAGAAAGAGACCCACTGATGGCAATGGGTACAGCTGTCACTGACTGGCAACTCGAATGTCCATATGTAGTTCTGGGTTGCAGTACCAGGGAGGAGAGAAGTGCTCTTGGTTGATCGTAAAGGAGAGCGACCCTGAGGAGCACTAGTGCTTATAGCTGCAGGGAAGCAGGGGTGGTTCCTGGATAAAGTAGTGACTATACCTCTCCCCTGATCATACCACCCTGTCAGCACCAAAAAACTTGCAGATACAACCCCTCCCCACCAAGAACTAGCTGTGAAAGCAGAAGCACAAAAAAAGCCTGAAGTTTGGAGCAGAATCCTAACTTATAGTTCAAAGTCAAGAAATGGGCTGGAAACATGAGCAAACAACAAAAAATGAACTTGACCTACTATAAAAAACTACTATGTTGGCAGAGAAGACATAAACGCAGAAGACAACAACAATGTGAAAACGGCCACAAACAAAGCCTCAAAGAAAAATGCTAATTGGACATTAAGTCCAACAAGAATTCCTGAAGGAGTTAAAGAAAGAGATAAGGAATTGTAGAAAGAAAATTGGGAAAAGACATGAGAGTGAGGCAAGAAAATTATGAAAAGAGAATTAACAGCTTGGTAAAAGAGGAACCAAAAAAAAAAAAAAAGAAAATAATACCTTAAAAAATAGAACTGGCCTAATGGTAAACGAGGCATAAAAATTCACTAAAGAACTCCTTTTTTAAAAAGCAGAATTGGTCAAATGGAAAAAGAGATACAAAAGCTCAATGAAGAAAATAATTCCTTAAAAATTAAAACTGAGCACCTGGAAGCTATGACTCCATGAAACATCAAGAAATAATAGAACAAAGTCAAAAGAATGAAAAAATATGGAACTATGCCCAAAGGGCTACAAAAATGTGCATATCCTTTGACCCAGCAATACCACTTCTAGATCTGTATCCTAAAGAGACTGTACAAATGGGAAAAGGACCCACATGTACAAATATATTTATAGCAGCTCTTTCTGTATGGCAAAGAATTGGCAATTGAGGGGATGCCCATCAGTTGGGGAATGGCTGAACAAGTTGTGGTATATGAATGCAATGGAATACTATTGTGCTTTAAGAAATGATGAGCAAGCAGACTTCAGAAAAACCTGGAAAGACTTAAATGAATTGATGCTGAGTGAAGTGACCAGAACCAGAACACTGTACACAGTAACAGCCACAATGTTCAATGACTAAGTTCAACAGACTCATCTCCTCTCAGCAAAGCAAGACAACTCCAGAAGACACATGATGGAAAATGCTGTCCACATCCAGAAAAAGAACTACGGAGTCTGAATGCTGATCAAAGCACATTATTTGATCTCTTTTTTTTTTGTCTGTTTCTTCTTTCTCGTGGTTTCTCCCATTGGTTCTAATTCTTCTTTACAACATAACTTATGTGAAAATAGGTTCAATATGAATGTATATGTAGAACCTATATCAGACTGAAAATTTAGAACTCAAAATCTTATGAAAGCGAATGTTGAAAATGAAAAAGAAATAAATTAATTTTAAAAAAGAAGAATGAAAAAATAGAACAAAATGTGAAACATCTCTATGGAAAACAACTAACCTGGAAAATAGATCGAGGAGAGATCATTTCAGAATTACTGGACTACCATAAGGCTATGGTTCAAAAAAGACCTTAGATATCATAGTTCAAGAGATTATAAAGAAAACTTCTCTGATATCTCAGATCCAGATTCAATAGAAATTGAAAGACTCCACTGATCACCTCCTGAAAGAGATCCCAAAATAAAAACTTCCAGGGATATTATAGCTAAATTCCAGAGCTCCCAGGTCAAGGAGAAAATATTGCTAGCAGCCAGAAAGAAACAATTCAAATATAGTGAAGCCACAGTTAGGATCACAGAAGATTTAGTGGCTTCAACATCAAAGGAGCAGAGGGCTTGGAATACGATATTCCAGGAGGCAAAGGAGTTAAACTACTCAGCAAAATGGAGTATGATCCTTCAGTGAGAAAAATGGATATTTAATGAAAATAGATGACTTTCAAGCATTCCTGATGAAAAGACTAGAGATGAACAGAAAATATGACATTCAAACACAAGACTCAAGAGAAGCATTAAAAAAAAAAACACCAACAGAAATGATAATGGTCTCAATAAAGTTAAATTGTTTATATTTCTATATGGGAAGATGGTTCATGTAACTCCTAAGGACTTTATCATTATTAAGGTAAAGTAGTTTACATAAACACAGTCTATTATGTTGGGATGATCTTTAAAAAAATAAAGGGGATGAACTAGAAAGGGGAAAATTTTCTCGCATAAAAGAGGTACACAAGGAAGAGCTTTTATAACGGAAGGGGAAAAGGAGGATGGTGGGCAATGCCTCAACATCACTCTCATTAGAACTGGTTCAAAGAGGGAAGAATATACACACATACACACACACACACACATTCTCACACTCTCTCTTAGCTGGGTACAGAAATCTATTTTACCCAATACAGAAATAGGAGTGGAAAGGGATGGAGGGGATGGGAATGAGAAAAGAGAGGGGTGATTGAGAGCTGATTAAAGGAGGCAATGGTTAGAAGCAAGGTAAGACTTTTGAGGAGGAACAAGATAAAAGAGAGAATAAACAGAAGAAAACGGGATAGAGGGAAATACAAAGTAATCATAATTGTGAATGGGATTGGGATACCTCACTCATAAAATGGAAGCAGATAGCAGAATGGATTGTAAACCAGAATCCAATAATACATTATTTATAAGAGACACACTTGAAACAAAAACGCACACACAGAGTTAAAATGAAGACTTAAAGCAGAATCTAACATGCTTCAGCTCAAGTAAAAAAGTCAGGGGTAAGCAATCATGGTCTTAGAACAAAGCAAAAACAAAAATAGACCTAATTAAAAGAAATAATCAGGGAAACTAATTTTGATTAAAAGGAAATTAATAAGTTTCTCTGATAAAGGCATCATTTCTGAAATACAGAGAACTGAGTCAAAGTCATAAAAATAAAAGCCATTCCTCAATTGATAAGTGGTCATAGGATATGAACAAGTAGTTTTCAGAAGAAAGCAAAGCCATCTATATAAAAAAATGTTCTAAATCACTTAGAGAAACACAAATTAAAATAACTCTTCTTTCAGAGTATAAAATCAGCACACAAACCTCACAAATAAAGATCATTATGGACCTGTGACTATTCTCAGTCTCTGAAAGGTTATATATAGGATCCAAACTTTTTTCCCTCTAACATTCAGTAACATTCTTCCATTACCATCATTTAGCCATGGAAAGCAAGAGTTATCCTCCATAGACTGATTCAATACATGTGAAAAATCAAGGTATTATTTAAAGTTGCCCAGTATCTTTTCAAATTTCAAACTAGGTATTATATATGTATATATGTTTGTGTACATACACACACATACACATACACATGTTTTTATGTTCATGCCCATTACACCTCATTATTTAAGCACTCAATCATTTATATGCTAAAAGTTAAAATGGTAAGCTTAATGGCTACAAAATTTTCAACATGTCAAATTACTCATCTTCCATTATATTTTTCCAACTTACCCATAAAGGTAGTAAAAAAATGATAGTAGGTAAAAGGCTAATTTGCACCATCCTTCCTTCTGACAGTATGCTAGAATATCTGCATTCATGATGGTTGTAGGATCATAGAGTCCTGGTCCACTCATCACTGGTCTACTCATATACCTGTAATGAATATATTTTATTAGCCACTAAGAAGGTAAACCTTTGCGTATGGGTTTTCTTCCTTTCAAAATCAAGATGAGGCAGGAAATCACATGCTTCTAATTCTACATCATAATTAATGAAAAATTTATAAATTTCAATAGCAAAACTGGACCCTAAAACAGTCAATGCAAACAATATAAAGGGTTGAACAAATAACTTCTAGTGCCAAATGCTTTCAGAAATCCAAAAAAAGATGAATAATCAAATTGGAGACAATATATTTTAATGTGTCCAGATAAATATGAAAAATACTACTACTTAGAACTGCTCTTGCACACCTCAGTTCTGATTATTGCAATAAAATATTGAGTGGCCAGGTAGCTATCCTTTCTGTCATTATTTTCTGAAAAAGCATTTTTAATTTTAATTGCTACATGCAAAATATGCGCGAAGTTATATGCCCACCTGCTTGATTATTAAAACAAGCATTACTTAATAAATTTTTAATTTGGGCTAAAGTAATTATAATTAAAAAAGGAATATTAGAAGCTTATCTAAATATTACCTCCAAATATGATATGCCAAGAGTGGCATATTGAGACCCAGTGTAAGCCACTCTGCTGCACAGAGAAACATGACACAGAAGAAAGCGTGGATGAGATATTCTGGAAGTACAAGCTGGAGGAAAAATATATAATCAGTTATCAAAACAGCCTGGCTGGAAGGTTAGTGTTAATATTAAACAAACGCAAAATTAATTATGAATAAAGTAGGAAACAAATTTCATTCAATTAAAAGCTATTTTTCAGAATCAAGAATAAAAGGGGCTGTTCAGGATTCTATGTCTTCATTGACCTTTCCACCAACAGAAGGATTTCTATGTACATAGACTGAAGACACAGCCTGCACTGCTCTGAGGAAAAGACCTAAACATTTCACAAGCCATAGGTCACCCAGCTATTACAAATTGTTGGGTGTGTGACTTAATCTGCACAGGGATCACCTGGAGAGGAACTTCCTCTCCCAAAGCTGATCAGCCCCTTCTCTGCCATTTACAATCCTAGAACAGTCCAAAGGCCTGGATGGACTCAGGTCTTCCTAACTAGGACAGTTCTCAGTTCATTACATTATGCTGCCTTTCCTCACACACAATGAATGTAATTATTTAGTATGGATAGGACAAATTTATTGGTCCTTGGAACTCTTGGGTAAGGAAATCCTTTCTATCAATGCTGATTGAGAGAGCTGCCTAGAGCACTGAGAGGTTAAGGGACTTGTTCAGGGTCACAGGGCCAGTATGTGTCAAGAGGCCACACCTCACCCGAGAGCTTCCTGGCTTCAAGCCTAGCCTTCTGTCCACAACAACCCTACACTGTACCTCTATTCAAATATAATGATGTTCAAGGGTGGGGAGGGGACTCATAATTCTAATTAGATGGTAGTAAAAATGACCACACATAATTTTTAAATTATTTTTACACTGCTATTTAAAAATCAGTTAGTATGTATTTTACTTTCCAAAACTACACATGACAAAAAATAGAAAAATGAGATATTTGACCACATGCAACATAATAGAAAATATTTCACAAAACCAAAGCTTCCCTGAATCGTTTGCATGTTAGAATTTTTAAGCTTTTAATTAAAATTTAAAATGCTTCACGTACAAACCACATAATGACCACAAAATCATATCCTCTATGCAACGATCAGCCAATAATTTCTGCACAATGTTAAGGATGTCAATATGAACAAATGCAAACAAGCTTTCTGCAATGTAGGAGGGAAATTATATCAAAACAGTGAAATTAATTACATTTTTTGGTACTGCTAAGCTCATTTTTTGGGTATCACTTGAGAAGTTGCAGATAATAGGCCTGAAAATTTCAGATTAATGAAAGCAAAGCACACAAGGACAAAGTTCATTAATAAAATTTCATTAGAATAATTAATATAAACTAATGTAAAATTTTACTTGGCACATCAAGAAAATGTGAATGATATAAACCTTAAAGTATTATAGAAAACATATGCATGTATAAGTGACCTATGTAAATACTAGAATGAGCTCAAAAAATGATGGTACTTTTATTTTTTTCATTAAAATTTTTAGTCATACAAATGATTTTAAATGAAAATATTTTAAAAATGGATTACTTCAGGTTAATTTTTAGGGGGTTTAAGTAGGCCACTTCCCTACTCTAAACTTGAGTGTTCTCTAATGCCTTTAGTATAAAATATAAATTCCTTTCTTTGGTGTTCACAGCCTGACTTCAGTGTGTGTGTGTGTGTGTGTGCGCGCACGCGCATGTGTGCATATACACACATGCGCGCACACACGCACACACACGTAGGATTAACCTTGATGGTCCAGCCATACTAGTCTTCACATTTCACACAAACTGTTCCTCACACACAGCATTCCATCTCTGTCTTTTTTTTTTTTTTACTGGATGTCCCCTATGCCTGGAAGGTATTCCTTTCTAATTTTTGACTCATAAAATTCCTCCCTTCTTTAAGACTTAGTTCAAGGACTACCTTCTACAGGAAGCCTTTCTTAATGCCAACTGTCAGTGCCTTCTCTATGTTGCCTTTATTCTGAATATACTTATATATGAATATATTGTCTTCCATGATAAATGGTAAGCTTTTGGAGTCTAGAGATTATTTTACTTTTTGTCTTTCTAGCCTCAACCCCTAGCATATAGTAGGCAATTAATATACTTAATGATGATTTAATATACTAAAACTCTCCTTAAAAAAGACCTTAGGTATAAGAATATTTTAAGATTGTACTACATCTAAGATGGTGTTCTAACACCTCAAAAGGTTTATCTGTATTCCTTAACTCAAAACAGAAAGGATTTTAATAACAATAAAAACCAGCTAATCACTTATTATTCTGCTACATAAATTCTTTCCATCATTCAATTAAGGTTAATCTGGCAGGTAACAGTATACTCATTAAATACACCTGTAAGCTATTTAAACCTAAATCTTCAGGTTAACACTTGTAGATAATACACATAATTACGTATTTTTAAACCTGACATCTAAAAATAGGAATAGCCAAGCATTTTCATAGGACTGCTCCTTTAAGAAAAAAAGGGCTTCTATACAATATCTCTATTTTAAATTAAAATATATACCCTATATATCTCATAAAGCTATATTAGTGATACTAGTTAAAACTGAATTATAACAAGCCCATTTAAAGATTCAGTTAAAAAAAAGATTAAGAATTCTTATCCCAGAAGGTTAGAACACTATAAAAGAACTGTCCCAAATGTTTCAAAACTTATATTTAGTTACAAGGATAATAAATATAGACTGGGAACTGTGGTTCTAGCACGAAACTCAATTCTCTCCATAAAGGTCTAAAATGTATTTTTATAGATCTCTCCTAGAAAACTCTACTTTCAAATCATTTTTTGTGATACTTCTTTAGGAAGTACAGCTAATAGAAAGTTAGTACTCTTCAAAATTACTTTATGCAAATAGGATTTAAAATGATAGAAGATCTAATTTGAACATGCATATTAAATTGTCCTTTGTTAAAGATTACACAAAGGGAAAAATGTATCATTTCCTTCCCCCATACTTTGGCAGAAGTAACTTTCAAAACAAATTTTAAACAGGGAAAACTGTCAGATGCACAGCTATTATGTCAACAATCACTACAATCTCCCATCCAAAATAAAGTGTGTACATCAAAATAACCCTTCTTCCATTTCCTCACTGCAACATTAGTATATCCCAAGTACATACTTTTTTTTTAAACCTGAGAATTTTTCTTTCTATTAACAAAAACAGAAAAAACAAGACATTCTATCTAAATGGAATGTCACTATTTCAATACAAAGCAAGAAGCTCATGGAAACTTTTTTAAAATGATACATGTAAGAAAAGATAGACTCTACAGTATTAAATTGCTATTGTTAAAACACTGAAATTTCTCATTTTTCTGATAGAAGGTACTTTAACCAATTTCACAGACCAAACTCTGGTGTTACCTAGTGAGCAGGCCAATCCTTCTTGTTCTAATTCTATTTGTTGGAGCCAGCCAAAAGACTGATCATTTATTTCATAACAAAGTACTTAATCTTAAACCTACCTGGTAATAAGTACTTTTTAAAGTACTTCTCACTGGAAAGTCTATACACTGTGTTTTCCGCATGGCTCTAAAGAGATATCATTTCTATTAAATATCTTCTTAGTTCCTAATTAAATAGATGTAATCAAGCCTGACACAGACTAATCCATCTAAAAGAGTAATATATCCAGCACTCCTAAGCACTGACAAACTTCCATGTAAGGTACATTGTTTAGGAATCACAACAGAGGATTTATATATCAGGAATACCAAAAGCAGTTCCCATTACTCCTGTGATGCATGTGGTGTTACAGCACAGGCCCTGAGAAGAATGTAATAAGATTCCAGGATATTCATAAGATGAGGAAGGGGAAATTGAAAAGTATAACAGTCAATTTGACATTGCAGATTCCTACTGTATATGACAGCACACTTACAAAAGACCATAATCTCAGATTATTATGACAGGCTATTACTGCTGAGGTTACTTTATTTTAACCAAAACCTCTAGAATTCCCCAAATCAAAAATTAAAGAAATTTGTCAAATAACCTAAATATGGTTGCAGTCATAGCACAAAAAAATTATGTGTACAAGCATGTAACAGTTTTCCCCACTCGATCAGCAAGCAAACATTTGCACAAAATATGAAAAATTTTGAAATTACAAACCTGAACAGGCATGGGGGAACACACCAAACAAAACATTTACATAAATACAATGTTCCTAACCCTCCCCCAACAAAATGAAGGTGGCATTAAAATATTAAACTAAAAAGCAGTACACACCTTTAATGCAATTTTGACTCTTTTAATCTTTTTGACCTTTTCAACTGTCTTTGTGCCGACAATGTAAAAAGCAGATTGGGAAAGTGTTAGTATGACAGCTGACAAGATCACCAGCAGATTAATAAGTCAGACTATTCAAGCACGAAAGGAAAAAAATAATTTTCAAAAGTCTACCTATTTTAAAAAATACACAGTTACTACTTAGGTTAATAATGGCCATTTATAATTTTATCAACATAAAAGCAAAGACCTTAAAAGGATAATGAAAACAATTTGTTATATTGTAACTTACAGGATTGAGTGTATTACATTGGTCTATAGGATTCTTGTAATCAGTCTTCAGTTCATCAAATGCTATAATCTAAAATAAAATTAAAGCAATTAGGATTTTTTTTTCAGTGAAAACCCACTTATTCACAGCCCCAAACAATAAGACAATAACTAAAGTACACGAACTTTATACCAGTAAGTACTCTGTAACCAACTTAAACCATAGATTTAAAGATGAAAGGGAACCTCAGAAGTCCCCTAGTCCAACTGCTTCATTTTACAAATGAGGGAACTGAACAGTGGGATTAAGTGACTTGTCCAAGTTCATGTAGCTAGTAAATGTCAGACACAGGACTTAAACACAGGTCTTCCTGACTCCAAGTACAGCCCTCTATCCTCTTCACCATAATGCCTCTAAAAATAACTTAGACAAGGTTTACAAGATTATAAATTCTTCTTTTAAGTTATCATTACCAGTGTTTCAGCATTACACTGACATTTATCATTATTGTTGTTATTATAACATTTCTTCATGATCTCAATTGGTTCTTTATTTCAATCAAGCAAGCATTTATTATCCATTTATTATGTGCCATATAATTGTACTAAGAACTAGAAATACAAAGAAAAGAAAATACAAAAACTGTTCCTGTTCTCGAGTAACTGATCTATTAATGGGGAAGACTACATGTTAACCAACAGGCACATATAAGACAAAGAAGGAATGGAAGGAAGGAAACTTCAGACAGGGAGGTTCAAGTGGATAAGGTGACATGGAAAGGTCTCCTGCAAAAGGTGACATTTGAGCTAACTCTTAAAGGACGTGAGGGATGTCAGCAAGTAGAGGAGATAAAGAAGAGCATTTCAAGTAGGGACTATCCCAGCGACGAAGTATCAAAAGTGGGGAACGTCAAGTACTGTTACTTATGTTGTCATTAGATCATAGAATGCGTGGAAGGAAGCGAAGTGTGAAAAGATTGGAAAGGCAGTAAGGGACCAGCTTTGTGAAAAGCCTTAAATGCCAAGTTCACTTCATAGGTTATTTACCCTGGAGATAAAGCAGTGCCCATGGAGTTTACAGAGCAGGGAAGTAACACAGGCAAAGCTACACTTCAGGGAAATCACTTTGGTAGTTGTGTGGAGGGACTTGAGGCAGGAAGACCAACAAGAAGGCTATTACAAAAGTCCAGGCCTAACCCAGGGCAGTGACTGTAAGTAGAAAGAACAGACATATACAAGAGATATTATGAAGGGAAGAACAAGAAGACTTAGCAATGGATCGACATGGTGGATTTGTTACCTGTGTAACTGGGAGAATGGTGATGCCCTCTATGGTAATGGGGAAGTATGGAAACAGGGACAAAGGGTGAGGGGGAAAAGAGAAGAGAATAATGAATTATTGTGGACATGTTGAATTTTGAGATGTCCATGGACATCTTGAATCCAGTTCAAAATGTCCAACAAGCAGTTGGAGATGTGGGACTGGAGCTCAGAAGACAGGCAAGGGCTGGGAACTGAGAATAACCTGTACAGAAATGACAGTAAACTCATGAGAGCTTATGTGATCACTAAATATGAACGTAGAAGGAAAAGAGAAGAGGGCTCCGGACAGATCCCTGCTGGACAGCTACACTTAGGCGATGTGACATTGATGAAGAACCAACAAAGGCAACTAACGGGCTGACAGGGTGTGGGAAAACCCAAAGAGAAGAGAGTATCCAAGAGGAGAAGGTAATTGATCCACAGAGTCAAATGCTGCAAAAACGTCAATGAGGATAAGGACTGAGGAAGAGAACGCTAGATTTGTCAGTTAAGAGATCACTGGTAACTTTGGAGAGAATAGTTTCAGTTGAATGATGTTAGAAGCCAAAATGGAGAAGTTTAGAAAAGAATGAAAAAAGAGGTAAGTGCAGGCACAAAGTATAGACATCTTTATCAAGGAACATGGCAGACAAAGGAAGGAGAGACAGGACAATCACTAGGGGGATAACAGAATGAAGTGGAGATTTATTTACATTTTTAGTTACATACACTAATTATATTTCATTGCAAGTTGTATTTGTATCAAAACTGGACAGAAATGAAGATGAAATCATAGAATATTTATTGACTAACATTAATTAGCTCAACATCAAACAAGATGTTTTCCAAACAATGGGGATCTGCACCTTTACCTAGTCCCATGTGTAACCAAAATCACACATTTTTAGACAGACAAATGCAGTTTTGTTGCTCAGATTCTGGCCATGGAAGATAGTGAAGAAAACTGATCTATACAGGGCTGCGGTAACCAGTTTCATGAACAATGCGATTACTAAGTGTTAACAACTATATGTACCAATACCACAAACAGGCCAATTAAAGAACAAATACACTAGCTCAGATGTCACCTTTTTCTAACTTGAAAGCTTCTTCAATAATCTGTAATTTCAACGTCATAATACTCTGTCCAACCTAGATCACAATACCATCTATGAGACTCCTCATCCCATGTAATTCTTGTTTATTTATATCCTCCCATTACTTCCTTCACAGGGTTCCCATCCAACCTTCTGGGGGTTTCCCTCTATGTTTCTAATTATTCCCTACCCTCTTCTCTTATATGGCATGATACCACTTATCACATAAACGCATGCCTCTTTCTGGCCACAAGGGGGCAGTGTGCCAGTAGCATCACCTTGGAAACGGAATTGGACCCATAATTTCACCGGTAAAAGAAAGTCCAAAAAAGGAACTGGAACCTCCTCCACAATGTAAAATCTTTTTTAAAAATCTTAATATTTTATTTTCCCAATTACACGTAAAAACAATTTTCACGTTTTTCCCCCTCTAATTTTGAGTTCCAAATTCTCTTCCTCCCTCTCCTCCTCCCATGTGGACTTACATGCGCAAGTCATGAAAAACACAATCCCATATATGTCATTCTGTGAAAGAAAATACACACAAAAAGAAACCCAAGAAAAATAAAGAAAGTAAAGAAAAAGCATCTTTGATTTGCATTCAGGCTTTTCTCATTCAGTTCTTTCTCTGGAGACGGACAGCACTTTTCATCATAAGTCCTAAACAACTGTCTTAGATCACCGCATTCCTGAGAACAGCTAAGTTATTCACAGTAGGTCAGTACATTGTTCTCTTGGTTCTGCTCATTTAACCTTGCATCAGTTCATGAGAGCATCCTGCTCTCAGAATAAAAATAAAAATAAAATGTAGAATCTTAAGAGTGGCCTGGGACATTGAGAGGTTAAGTGATTTGCCCAGAGTCACAAAGCTAGAATTTGTTAGAACAAGGGGTTGAATCCAGGTCTTCTTGATGCCAAGGCAGGCTTTCTAGCTACCATATTATAGTCCCTCTCAGCATTATCATGTAAGAGACTGGGGACACAGATTTACCACAACTTTTCTGGTTTTGAAGTACTGAACTCCATTTTGTTTTCTGACCTCCATCTTGTATGCCCTCCTTCACGGAAGTAGGAGTTCCTGCCTTAGAAAACCTGCCAAGAAGGATATCTGCCCCAATCTATTTCATGATCCTTATATGGTCCCAAAGGCAGGATTAACCAATTGTTTGGCTTCTGTAACTTCCTGCTTACGCAACCCCTGATCGTTTACTCTGTGGCTTCTGCCTTTATAAACCCAAGCTCTACCCCTGATCTGGGCTGCTCGATCTGGGTGTGTACCCCTTGCAGCCTCGAGCTAATAAATCCACATTTCAAATTGTGTCTGGGTCTTGCTCACTGATTTTTTGGTACAACATTTTGGAGGCCCCAGCAAGATTCGTGGCACACTGTGCCGTTGCAGAGACTCACCTGGGGAGGACTTCGGCCTCAGAAGGGAGGGAGGGAGGAATGGCTGTGTTCTGACTTTTAGGGGAGCCGGCCCCTGAGACATTCCAGGGCCCCAGAACTTAGGGCTGGGAAAAGCCTCCCTCCCCGACTCCGACTGTACCTCATTTCGGCCCCGTGGATTCTGGACCTGGTAACCCTCTGGAGGTGAGTATACCCAGATTTCTGTTCCCTGGTGGAGAATGAGTGCCAGATGGGGCCGTAGCGCTTAGTGCCTCGATCTCCCAGGCACCCTGAGACATCGGGACCACACCTGTATCTGGTTCCTGGTTTCTGTCTTAGTTGTGTTGGTCTATTAGTTTATATGTGTAGAGACTGTGTTTTTAAGAGGTTCTGTTTTAGATCATCTGCCTGAAACCACCTCTGTTTCATAATGAAAGGCAGGTGTCAGACTGGATCGCAGTTTTCTCCAGGGCAGTTTCTCTGACTTCCATTGGGAGGATGTGTTTGTGTTCAGGCTTTTATTGTTTGACTATGTCTGTGTTCTGTGATAATGGGGGTTTGGCTAGCACATCCAAAACCCCTTTGGGTTGTATGTTGAATCATTTTAAGGAAGTATATCAGGAAGCGGTGGATTACGGTATTACACTCAAAAAATCACAACCTACTCTGTTCTGTATGAATGAGTGGCTGACCTTCGGGGTAGGATGGACACCACAAGATAGTTTTGACAAGCAAGTGGTGACCGATGTTTGGAAAGTTGTTACTAGAAACCCCGGACACCCTGATCAGTTTGCATATATTGATATCTGGCTGACCCTTGTAACTTATCCCCCTCCCTGGTTAAAAACACTGCTCCTTACAGAAAGGCATCTGAGTGCTAGTTGCTCAGCCACAGAAGACTTCTTCCTCCAGTGACCCTCCTCAGGTTCTTCAAGAATCACAGGAAGAAGACTTTCCCCCTCCCTATTATAGGAATGGCCCCCAATCTCCTCCAAGATTGTATCCTCCTTTGCCTCTATCTGCCCCACTACCCGACTCCTCTGGCTCTCCTGTATCACCCCCAGCCCTCTTTCACCGCCGCACACATGGACGGGGGCCAAGTACCACCATGAGGACAAACCTGCTCCTGCAGTCCTTCCTCTCCGGGAAGCACCTAACCCCAGAGGACAGCCCTTTTCTAGTCTATGTCCCTTTTTCAACTAGCGACATCTATAATTGGAAGGCACAGAATCCCTCTTTCTCAGAAAAGCCCCAAGTTTTAATTGGATTATTAGAATCAGTCTTCCACATTCACAGACCCACTTGGGATGACTGTCAACAACTTCTCACCACTCTCTTCACTACTGAAGAGAGGGAGAGGATTCGACCAGAAGCAAGAAAGGCTGTCCTGGGGCCTGGTGGAGGGTCAGTGGAACAACACAGGGATGATGTGGAACGGGTTTTTCCACCCACACCCCCGAGATGGGACCCAAATACTGCTGCAGGGAGGGACGCCTTAGACACTTACCACTGCTACTTCCTCCAAGGCCTCAAGGCAGTGGCTCGGAAGCCCACAAACCTCTCCAAGGTCTCAGAAGTTCTGCAAGGTCCTCAGGAGTCCCCAGGGGCCTTCCTTGAACATGTCTACCAGGCGTATCGAATGTATACCCCTATAGACCCTGAGGCCCCAGAGAATGCTTGAGCCTTGAATGTAGCTTTTGTCTCCCAATCTACCCCAGACATTAGGAAGAAGTTGCAGAAACAGGAGGCATTTGAGGGCATGAACATGTCCCAACTTGTAGAAATCGCCCAGAAAGTTTTCAATACCCGAGGCAGTCCATCTGAGAAATCTGATAAGCGCCTAGCCAAAGTTTTAGTAGCAGCCCTTAAAGAGGCCCCGTCTTCTTCCATCCGGCGCCAAGAAGGGCCGAGAGGTCCCCTCCAGGCTTTATCTCCAAGCTTATTGCAAGGAAATTGGACACTGGAAAAATGAGTGTCCGAATAAGAAACTTCAAAAACCCCTGTTTTAGCCCTAGGAGACTGAAAGGGCCCGGGGTCTTTCTCGCTTGACCCCCATGCACCCCGGGTAAAGCTTAAGACTGGGGGTCACTCTGTCGATTTCCTGGTAGATACTGGGGCTGCCCATTCTGTCCTAACTCATCCGTTAGGCCCCTTGTCGTCAAAAACCACCCCAGGGCAGGGGGCCACAGGGAGCATTTTGTCCTGCCCATGGACTTCCGAGTGTACAGTTGATTTAGGCCGGGGTACAGTTACTCACTCATTTCTTGTTATGCCCGACTGCCCCTACCCCCTATTAGGTTGTGACCTGCTCCAGAAGCTTCAAGCCACCATATCCTTCAGGGGAGATTCAGCTTCTCTTGACCTCTCTCAGGACTCTACTATTGATCCTCCTCCCTCCATACTTGTCACTCTACCTCTGTCCTCTGAGTTTCTGCTGCATGAGGCTGCCACTCTGGGTGAGGTCAGTCCACATTTGCAGGATCTTGCTTCCTTCCCTGGTGTGTGGGCAGAATCCAACCCTCCGGGATTGGCCTCTCACCACCCCTGGGTAGTGGTCCAACTGTTAGCTACTGCTTCTCCTGTGTCGGTCCGTCAGTACCCCATGTGGCCGAGGCTCATCAAGGCATAGCGGTCCATATCTCCCGGCTCAGAGAGGCTGGTATTCTTGTTCCCTGTCATTCCCCTTGGAATACTCCCCTTCTCCCTGTTCGTAAACCAGGGACCTCTGATTACAGACCTGTACAGGACCTTCGGGAAGTGAATAATCGGGTGGAAACCATACACCCCAAGGTCCCTAACCCCTACACCCTGCTCAGCCTCCTACCTGCTGGACATTCAATTTACACAGTCCTTGATCTTAAAGATGCTTTTTTCTCTATCCCTTTGGCCCTCACTAGCCAGCAAATCTTTGCCTTTACCTGGATTGATCCTGGGGGTGGGTTTTTGGGCCAGCTAACATGGACCGCCTGCCTCAGGGCTTCAAGAACTCCCCAACACTCTTTGATGAGGCCCCACATAAGGACCTTCAGTCATTCCGTGCCTCTAATCCAAATTGTTCCCTTATTTAATATGTTGATGATTTGCTCCTGGCCGGCTCTCTAAAGCTCATTGTCTACAAGCAACCCACTCCCTCCTCTTGCTCTTACAATCTCTGTGCTATAGGGTATCCTCTAAGAAAGCGCAGATCTGCCAAACTTCTGTCACCTACCTCAGATACCTTCTCTCTGAAGGTAGGCGCTCCCTGTCTCACTCTAGAATCCAGGCCATCCTTGACACCCCCACCCCGACTACCAAGAAGCAGGTGCGTGAATTTTTAGGTACTGCTGGCTACTACAGATTATGGATCCTTGGGTGTGCCGAGATCGCCAAACCTCTTTATTCCGCTACAGCTGGCTCTGGCCCACTTCAGTGGTCAGCTGCTGAACAGCAGGCTTTTGACTCCCTGAAACAGGCCCTCCTCTCTGCCCCTGCCCTTGCCCTACGTGACATCGCCAAACCTTTTCATCTCTTTGTTGCTGAATCAAAGGGGGTGGCCAAGGGTGTGCTCACCCAAACTCTTGGCCCTTGGCAACGACCACTGGCTTACCTGTCTAAGCGTCTTGACCCCCCAGCGTCAGGGTGTCCACCCTGTCTCCGGTGGCTGGCTGTCACGGCACTCCTCGTGAAAGAGGCAGACAAGCTTTCTCTCGGAAGCCCCTCTCTATTACTGCCCCCCATGCTGTGGAGGCTCTCCTCCGCAGCACCCCCGACCTCTGGCTTTCCAATTCTCACCTCACTCAATACCAGGCTCTCCTTCTTGACCAGCCCCGCCTTATCTTCTTGAAAACCTCCATTCTAAATCCCGCAACGCTTCTCCCCAATCCTGGTCCCCATCCCTTTGACGCCCCCATCCATATTTGCTTTCAGCTCTTGGATGAAATTCAGTGTGTCCGTCCTGACCTCTCCGATAGGACCTTGTCCAATCCCCGAATGACCCTTTTCACAGATGGCAGCAGTTTCACTGATTCAGGTCTCCGCCGGGCTGGGGCAGCAGTTGTTTCCTACACCTCCCTTTTGGTTCTTTGGTCTGCCCCCCTGCCCTATGGCACTTCTGCCCAAAAGGCTGAACTCATCATCCTGACCCGGACCTTACGTTTGGCTACTGGCAGTTCGGCGAACGTCTACACTGACAGCTGCTGTGCCTTCGCTACAGCCCATGTACACGCAGCCTTGTACTGTGAACGAGGTCTCCTGACCTCAGCGGGGAAAACTATTAAAAATAAGGAGGCAATTCTGGCCTTATTAGAGGCTGTCTGGCTACCCGCTAAGCTGTCCATCATTCCCTGCCCCTGTCACCAATCTGGGAACTCTCTAGAGGCTGTGGGAAATCGCGAGGCTGATGCAGCCGTGAGACAGGTGGCCCTGGGAGTTCTACCTGAGTCTCGTGTTGTCCCCTTATGTTCTGTTTTCAAGGCACCCCCACCCTTTTACTCATCCTTGGATGATTTCTTCACAAAACAAAAAGGGAGGAGTAAGAACAACCTTGGGTGGTGGGTCCTCCCTGAAGGGCGAGTCTTTGTCCCAGAAGCACTGGGAAGAGAATGGGTCACATGGTTACATCAGATCACTCACCTAGGGAGACGTAAAATGGGCCTACTACTGAGAGAGGTATTTTATCCCACACTTGGACAATCTCCTGGCCACTACAACTGCCCAGTGTCGGGCACGCGCACAAGTTAACACAAAACAGGGAAAAATTACCCCCATAGGGATCAGGCTACGAGGTTTGCAGCCAGGAGAACATTGGGAAGTTGATTTCACAGAAGTGAAGCCCCCAGCAGCAGGCCATAACTATCTTTTGGTTTTTGTGGATACTTTTTCAGGGTGGGTGGAGGCTTTCCCTGTGAAACATGAAACAGCCGTAGCAGTAGTAAAAAAGGTCCTGAACACCTCATCCCACGCTTCAGTCTCCCAACTGGCCTAGGTTCTGACAGCGGCCCAGCATTCACAGAGAAGATATCTCAAGGAATAACAAACGCCTTAGGAGTGGAATGGAAATTGCATTGTGCCTACCATCCTCAGAGCTCAGATCAGGTAGAAAGAGCCAACTGAACACACAAGGAATTCCTCACTAAACTGGTCCTAGAGACTTGGTTACTCTCCTTCCACTGGCTTTGCTCTGTAGCTGGTGTACCCCCAATAGACTAGGCTTCACACCCTTTGAAATCCTGTTCTGCAGACCCCCGCCAATTCTTCCCTTGATAAGGGAGGAACTCCGGGCGGATGTCACTAATTCTTCCCTAATTAAGTTCCTGCAGGGGCTCCAGGAAACACAGAGGACTCCCCTGAAATCTGTCCGAGACGCTCTACCAGTCCCTACCTGTGACTATACACGCTTTCAGCCCAGAAGACCCAGTCCTGGTCAAGAAGTACGCTGCCTCTGGCCTGGAACCTAAGTGGAAAGGTCCCTACACCGTGATCCTGACCACTCCAACAGCCATAAAGGTGGACTCTATCCCTGTCTGGCTTCATCATTTACTAGTAAAGGCAGCTGCTTCATCTACCAGTCCTGAGAAATGGGAAACGATACCAGGTCCAGATGCCCTTAAGTTGTGTCTCTCCCAATCAAACCCTTCCTAATCTTTCCTTTTGCCCCTCTTTTAATCCCTTGCATTGGACACCCTAATCCCCACGCTCCTTTACCAAAACCTAAGTGGGTCCTCAAATCCAGGGGGGCTAACCACGAACACGCCCTCACTCTGCCTGACTGCCTACCTGGCCCCCACGGCCCTGGCGCCCTCTTCAGTGTTCCCAAACCACCGTGCTCTGGCATCCCTTCCAAACCCTTTCTCTGCCCAGGGTCAAATGTATGTCAGCCTCCTTACTACTTTGACCCGGCAGCATCTTTTACCCTCATGGCCAACTCTACTGGGGGGGGGGAGAAAAAAGGGTGCTCCTCACTGTATATAAACAGGTCCCCGAGAGGTTCCCTTTGCCCACTGGTCCTCTAGGAGGATTGGCCCTCCCACCTAAAATTCTTCCCAATCCTCCAACTCCCACTAGGATCCCCTCTGAGTGGTTCAGCACCCCTCAGCCACCTAAAATTCTTCTCAATCCTCTGACTCCTACTAGGACCTCTCAGGCTGACCCCTCTCACCCCTCTATTATGGGACTGCTCCAAGCCATCCATGGTGTTGTCAACTCCACCTGGCCTGACCTACGGCCTAGTTGCTGGCTGTGTATGGATGCACAGCCTCCATACTATGTGGGAGTGGCAGTTAATGGTTCTGTTTCCCATTGCTCAGACTTGGAGAACTGCCGGTGGGAACAACCTAAGTTGACCCTGGGGGATGTCCAAGGCAAAGATATCTGTCTTACCTCATCCTCCTCATCCCTGGAAACTTCTCCTTACTCTCCTGTCTGTAATAGTACCGTGGTTGTTCCAGAATCCTCCTCCTCTTTTTATTCAGCGCCATCCGGCGCTTGGTGGGCCTGTCTAGATGGGATTACACAGTGTGTCTCTGCTGTGGTGTTCCTAAAGGAATCTGAGCCTCTACGTATATTAGTCTCCATTATCCCCCGGGTCTCCCTTCTCCAGGGCTGGGAGGGTTGGGAGTACTTCACTCATGAGGGCAGTGAGGGCAGTGTGTCCTACTGAAGCAAGCGAGCTGTTCCCCTCCTCATCCCTATCCTCATGGGGTTGGGGTTAGTGGTATCAACCGCTGTAGGTACCGCTGTCCTAGTCCGAGGAAAGGCCAGTTACCAGGAACTCAGTGCTTAGGTCGACGTAGACCTCAGTCATCTGGAGCACTCTATCTCCCAACTGGAGAGACAGGTCAACTCTGTGGCCAAGATGGTTCTGCAGAACCGGAGGGGTCTGGACTTACTGTTCCTCAGGCAAGGAGGCCTTTGTGCTGCCCTCGGGGAGGCCTGCTGTTTCTACGCCAATAACTCAGGTGAAGTTCAGGAGAGCCTTTCCCTGATACGGAAAAATATTGCAGACAGGCAGAGGTAACGAGAAAGGAGCAAAAACTGGTTACCAGAGCCTGTTTTGGACGTCCCCATGTTTAACCACTCTTATTTCTGCCTTGGCCGGGCCTCTGCTCCTCTTCACTATAGCCCTAATTTTTGGTCCTTGTCTAGTTAATCGACTCCTTGACTTTGTTAGATCCCATATTAATTCAGTTAAGTTACTATTGGTCAGAGATCCCCGCTATCAGCCGCTGGCACCAGCCTCCTTTGCACTCTACAGTGATGCAGCCTCTGCCACATCAAGGGTTTGACACGGTACACAAAAGAAGTGGGGAATGAAGTACTGAACTCCATGTACTGAACTCCATTTTGTTTTCTGACCTCCATCTTGTATGCCCTCCTTCACGGAAGTTGGAGTTCCCGCCTTAGAAAACCTGCCAAGAAGGATATCCGTCCCAATCTATTTCATGATCCTTATATGGTCCCAAAGGCAGGATTAACCAATTGTTTGGCTTCTGTAACTTCCCACTTATGCAACCCTTGACCGTTTACTCTGTGGCTTCTGCCTTTACAAACCCAAGCTCTACCCCTGATCAGGGCTGCTCGATCTGGTTGCGCACCCCTTGCAGCCGCGAGCTAATAAATCCACATTTCAAATTGTGTCTGGGTCTCGCTCGCTGATTTTTCGGTACAACAGTTTAAATCCTGACCATGCCACATGTTACGTGTTTGACTTTAAGCAAATCACAACTTTTTCCCTGGGAAGCCTCATATAATCTCTACATCACTTTGAGCTCTAAATTTATGATTCTATGTTAATCTTTCTATCAGATGTGATCACTATTGTTTATCAGTGATCAGCATATTAAAGACATTTCTCAATATTTTACAATATACTAGTATTCATTAAAAGCTCTCAGAACTTCAAAAGGTGTTATGCAAAAAATTAGGCTTATAAACAAAAGAATGCACTTAAACACATTTTGTGGGACTAAAATGAAGATAAAAAAAGAATCACGTATATTTAAAAATATGTTGAGACTATAATTGTAAACAGAATAACAAAATTAACTCATTACTTGTGAACATTGGCCAGCTGGTCACTCTGCATTCTAGAAATAAAATACAAAAAACAAAGTTGTTAATTTAAGTCCAACACTCATGCTGGCCTAGAGGTGATATGTAGGTTATCAAAGGCTATATGAGTGGGCAGCAAGTTCTGGAAAATTCTGGCAGGTGAGACCTAACTCTGGCTGGTTTGGCGACTCAGGTTCAGGACTAGAATGAAGTAAAACATTAGTTGATCATCTAGGAGTTAACAAAGCCACGTGGAAAGGATAGTTGGCAAAGACACAGTACTGGGTCAGGGAGAGGCAAACTTCCCTCATTCCCTGCCTTTCTCTATATGAAAACAAGTCTTATCAGAAGGGTGAGTTGTGGAACATCTCTCAAGTCTGAGAAGCAAAGACTCCTAAAAGGCTGGCTTTTTTTTTTAAAAAACAACTTAGTTGACAGTGAAAGTATGTCAACAGCATGAGCCTTAGCCAGTGACCCAATCAAACCTCAAGGGGAGATTTCCTACCTTTTAGCGGAAAAACTAGCCCCAACTATGCGTAGAACTCTTTAGAGAAACTAGCTAAAACTAACTGTTCCTACTACACTCCACCCTCCCTTGGTGGCAACATACTAAAGGTCTTGACTGCAAGGATTCAATAAGCCTAGAAGAAGCAGCAATGTAAGAGAAATTTAGTGCAGATGAAAGGAAAAAACCGCAGAAAGATGGAAGGAGGAAAGAGCAATTAGCATAATGGTCCCCAGAAGATGTAAAGTAGCAAGGTGACAGAATATAAAAAGTAACAAAGAATCAAATCTGTCATGTGATAGTCTCCAATTAATGTCTTGATATAAATCTGAGATAAGCAGAAGGACTAGATGACACTTCTGGCACAGTCAATGATCCACATTACAGGTGTACTGTACTTGTACGTGTACAGGTGTATTACAGATGATCTACAATAAAGTAGCCCAGAGGACATTACCCTCCTACAGGAAGCCTGTCCCAGAGTGAAGACTGATACCGAGAGTTAAGGTGTAATCTCTCTCATTGTTTTCCATCCTACTATCCAGGACGTTTTCCCCTGTGGCAGTTGCCCAAGCTCTTTCTGGCAAACAGCTATCTAACTATCCAAGGAGAAAGAAGACCTGACAGTTGTGTAGGACCTGATCCATTTCCTGACTCCTCTGAGGGAGCTGGGCCTAGGTGATTCTGTGCCAGAGACTGAATAAGGGCCAAAGAGAGTCAACCAGAACTATGTCCAAAAACTGCCAGTCCTTATAGAGTGAGTCTTCCTGGAGGCTGAATCTAAGAAACCTTGCACAAGAGAGGCCTCCTGCTTCCTCCTCCCTAAGGGGGCATTGATCTATCACAAGCAAGACTTCTGGGACGTAGAACATCTAACCTCAATAGCCAGGGACAAGCTATTATCTAGCAGGGGCAAACCTTACTCTGAGATGGGGAAAGACAGACAATTTACCAGTTAAAGAAGATGGATACTCTAACGGGGAATAGGAACTCGATGGGCAAAAATAGCAACTCTGTCCTTAGTTAGGGAGTTCATATGCTACTGTGCCCAAAACAACACAGCATCATGGCGCTCCTCTCTACACTGGCAATTGTACTACTTTCCCAACCTCTGCCGTGCTAGTAATGGTATCAACCTGCTTGTTTAATTCTGCAGACAGCATATGACTCCTGATCGATGCTGACATGCTCCACAAACAACTTAACGTGGTAAGAAGGAAGAACAAAATTACTTCACTGGTTCTAATTCCAAAGAGGAGATCTGACCTTTAATCAAGCAGCCCCTGTCCAGGCTCTATACTATTTGGCCTGATCATGACTACTGCCAAGTAATCACTGCAGAGTTAGATCTTACAATTTATCCCTCAAGACTCCCACAATACTAGCCATGCAGCTTGCAGTTTAGCCTGAAGGATGTGCCAAGACACCGATCCCTCAAGGTTTCCCAATGCCAGAGACCCTTGGCCTAGGAGGCAGGATTTAGAGGCCCTTTAATGGAGAAACTCTAGAAGCATAGGTACCACACAGTCATAAAGTCTCAGGAAGAGGGACTACCATATAGCCTACTTTACATCTTCTAGGGCTGTAGCCTATTCTCGGTCCCACTTGAAAGGGACAAATTTGTGGGCAACTTGGTAAAATGAGGGCCATTCAGAATACCCAGATGGGGAACGTGGGTTCTTCAAAACATGTCCAATAAACCTCTGGATTTCCTTTTTTTAAAAATAAGTTTTTATTGACATATTTTTTTTACATCACCTTAATTTTGTCCAGTACCTCTACCCTTCCCTCTCCCAGAGAACCATCCCATATAATAGTTTATTTTAAAAAAGAAAGAAAGAAAAAAAGAAAGAGGGGCAGCTAGGTGGCGCAATGGATAAAGCACCAGCCCTGAAGACAGGAGGACCTGAGTTCAAATCCAGCCTCAGACCAAACATTTGACACTTACTAGCTATGTGACCCTGGGCAAGTCACTTAACCCCAATTGCCTAAAAAGATTAAAAAAAAAGAGAGGAAAAAAATCAACATAACTCATCAATACAATAAAAGTCTGAAAAAATGTACAATGTACACTTGTGAACCTCCTATCTCTTCAAAGAGATAGGCTGGGAATAACTTCCCATAACTTTCTTTCAAGCCCTGAGTGTTCTATATAATTTTGCAAAATTCACTCTGGATATTTTTGGGGGTATTCTTTCTGCTTACATTGTTGCTGTCTTTGTGCGTATGGTATTGCTTTCCTGGCTCTGCTTACTTAACTCTGTATGAGTTAATGCAGATCTTTCCATGCTTCCTATGTATTCATCACTTAAAGCATAGTAATATAGTGTATACTACAATTTGTTTATCCATTCCCCAATGTGCTTTGTCTCCATTTCTTTGTCATCACAAAAAGTGCTTGCTATAAATACTCTGGTATGTATGGGGACTTTCTTCTTATGTTAAATCTTTTTTAAAATTTTAATTTATTAAAATTTTTTTTAAAAATTGTTTATACTCCTTTGGGGTATAAGCCCAATAGGTTCTCTGGGTCAAAGGGCAGAGACATTTTTATCCACTTTATTTCCAAACTGCTTTCCAAAATGGTTGTACTGATTCACAGCTCCACCAACAATGCACTAATGTGCTGATCTTTTCACAAACCCTTCAACATTAACTATTCCCATCTTTTTTCATCTTTGCCAACTTAGAAGATATGAGGTAAAACCTCAGGGTTATTTTGATTTGTGTTTCTCTCATGAGTAATCTGGAGCATTCTTTCATGTGCATATCTTTTTTTTTGACAACTGTTCATATCTTTTGCCTACTTATCTACTAGTGAATGGCTTTTGATCTTAAAACACCAGTTAAATATTGATAAATCTTAGATACTAAACCATTACCAGAGAAACTTGATACAAAGATTTCCTCCCCCATTTGACAGCATCCCTTCTTATCCTAGATGCATTAATTTGTCTATACATTCAGATCACTGCAAGAACGCAAATATCGCAATAAAGTGAGTCACATCAACTTTTTTGGTTTCCCAGTGCATATATAAAAGTCTGTTGTTCAGTTGTTTTCAGTCATATCCAACTTTTCATGACCCCATTTGGGGTTTTCTTGGCAAGGATACTGGAGTGCCTTGCTATTTCCTTCTCTAGCTCATTTTATCAGGGAAGAAGCTGAGGCAAAAAGGGTTAAGGTGACTTGCCTTGGGTCACACAGCTAGTTAAATGTTTGGGGCTAGATCTGAACTCAGGAAGATGAGTCTTCCTGAATTAAGGTCTGGCACTCTATCCACTGCACTGCTTAGCTGCCCTATATAAAAATTATGATTATACTATACTGTTATGTTTTTAAAAACCTTATGTGCCTTAATTAAAATACTTTATTGCTAGAAAATGCTAATCATCATCTAAGAGCCTTCAGCTATTGTAATCTTTTTGGCTGGTGGAGGGTCTTGCCTCAATATTGACAACTGCTTACAGATCAGGGTGATGGTTGTTCAAGGCTGGGGTGGCTGTGGCAATTTCTTAAAACAAAGCAAGAATGAAGTTTGCCAAATCATCTGATACTTCCTTTCATGAAAGATTTCTCCGTAGCATCTGATAATGTTTGACAGCATTTTACCCACAGTAGAACTTTCAAAATTGGAGTTAATCCTCTCAAACCCTGCTGTTCCTTTATAAACTAAGCTTATATAATATTCTTCAATACTGCTGTGTCCCAGGGAATAGGGAGGTCCACAGAGAGGGAGAGAGAAAGACGGGAGACTGACAGATGAATGGAGCAGTCAAAACACATACAACATTTATTAATTTTGCCATGTTACATGGGCACAGTTCATGGTGCCCCAAAACACTTACAATAGTAACATCAAAAATCACTGATCACAGATATAATAATAATGGAAAAGTCTGAAATATTGCAAAATTTACCAAAACATGACAGACACACAATGTGAGCACATATTATTGGAAAAATGGTGCCAAGAGACTTGCTTGATGTGGTTGCCACAAACCTTCAATTTGTAAAAAACAAACAAAAAACTGCAATATCTGTGAAGTAGAATAAAGTAAAGTACAATAAAACAAGG